AAAAAGACTAAGATAATGAAAATATATCTCCACTAAATGCTGTTATTTAAAAGAAGCCATTTTGGGGATGGCTAGGTGGTGTAGTGGGTAAAGCTGCTGCCTGCAATGCTGGCATCCCATATGGGAGCCAGTTCGTATCCTGCCTGCTCCATTTCCGATCCAGCTCCCTGCTAATTGCCTCGGAAAAGCAGCAGAAGATGGCCCAAGTGTTTGGGCCCCTTATCCATGTAAAAAACCTGGAAGAAGCTCCTGGTTCCTGGCTTCAGCCCAGTGCAGCCCAGGCTGTTGTGGCCATCTGGGGAGTGAACCAGCAGATGGAAGATCTTGCTATTTCTCCCATTCTGTTTGTTAACTCTGACTTTCAAATAAATAAAATTAGTTCTGTTGTACTTCATACCACATGTGAACAAACTTTATTTAAAATAAAACATTTCTGTAGAACTTCCATGTGTGTGCAACAACTAGACAAGTTTTTTAAATGCTGAATTCTAAAATTCTTACCCTTAGCACACAGTAAAAAAACCAATCCATCTGTAAAAAAAAAAAACAGTGACCTCTAGTGGATTCATTAAATAACACTGGCATCATACCTGCCTTTAAGATTTTAGAAATTAAGGTAACAATGATGCATCCAGATACAGAAAATACTAATATAGTTATAAAATGACCATAATATAAGGACTATAGTGACTTTATACAATGAGACAGATGAATATTTATAGATTACTCACTGGTTTCTTTTAATCAAGTGGAATATGATGAATAGACTCTTGGCGTCTGAGGTGGGCACCTGGCTTAGTAGTTAAGATGCCTGTGTTCCATACCGGAGTGCCTGGGTTTGATACCAGCTCTGCTTTCTGACTCTGGCCCCCTGCTAATGCAGTTATGGCTCAAGTGACTAGTTCCTGTGCAGCTGCAGGTGTCTGGGGAGTCAGTTAATGGCTAGAGCTCTCTCTCTCTCTCTCTCTAAATCAGTAGATGGGAACTAATTCATTCTTTCCATGCCTCTCAAATAAATAAAAGTAAAAATTAAAAAACTCTGGTCTCATTCAAAATCTACCACTAAGAAATACAGGTAATCTTCTCTTTTTAAAAGTATGTATTTTCATCTACTTGAAAGGTGGGGTGGTGGTGGGGTGGGGGGACAGACAGGGAAATGGAGAGGGAGAGGAAGAAGGGAGGGAGTAAGAGAGAGAGAGGGGAGTAAGAGAGGGAGAGTAAGAATAAGAGAGGGGAGTGAGAGAGAGAGAGAGAGAGAGAGAGATTTTCCATCTGCTGGTTCACTCTTAAATGGCTGCAACTGCCAGGGTTAGGCCAGGCTAAAGCCAGGAGCCAGGAACTCCATCCAAGACTCCCATGTCAGTGAAGGAGCCCAAGCACTTGAGTCATCTTCTGTTGCCTCCCAGGATGGATTAGCAGAAAGCTGGATTGTAAGTGGAGCAGTAGGGACTTGAACCAACACCCTGATATGGGATGTAGACATCCCCAACAGCAGTTTAACCTGCTGAGACACAATGCCCACTCCCACTTAATTTTTCTCTGAATTAAATTTTCTAAGGACGCTATTTGTGATTCTTTTTTATCTTGTACACCAATACCAGACTAAATTATGGCTTTGATGGCTCCCTAGGACTTGAGGATTTACTGAACTTATCATGGCCACTTTTTACCTACCTTTCTATATCTTCTGTTTTTCCCTCCAACATATAGCATTCCCTCCTTATCTGTGGGGGGCATATTCCAAGACCCCCAGTGGATGTCTGAAACTGTGGACAGTATAAAACCTATGTACTATGTTTTTTTCATATGTGGCTCTAAGCAACTCATAGGTGGGTAGGATATACTGCCTGGACACATTAGACAAAGAAATGATTTATGTCCTGGGCAATATGGTACAAGATTTCATCATGCTATTTGGAAAGCATGCGATTTAAACATTATTTCTGGAAATTTCCATTTAACACTTTCAGGGTAACCAAAAATATGGAGAGTGAAACTTGTGGATAAGGGCAGACTATCCTAGATTCCTTATTTCAATATTCAATACCCCAACCCACTTCCATGAATTTCTCATTTTTGTACATAGTTTTCCATTATACAAGGTCCTAACTTTGCTATCATCCCTACTAAAGCCAATACAAAATTGTTCATTCATGTATTTGTTCTACCATTCCAAAAATAAACTCACAGGTTGGGTTTTATATCTATGGATGTATCCTTCCAGGTACTAAGCACATACTATATACTTTGTGAATTAAATTGCTTAGTTTAGGATAGGGAAACAAAGGCCATTTTCACCTTTCTTTTTTACTGATGTAGGGACGGGAATACAGATAAGGTAAAACTTCAAGAACCACAAATATAAAGTGGCAAGGTTTCAAGTTTTGGGGAAAAGTGGGCATTCTGTCTGGACACAGGTTGGTAAGATTAAAGGAAGTGATTAGAGGGAACAACCATTTTATATTAGCTGTACAAAGTATCAACAGCTATGTTTTAAGAAAACAGGGATCTGGGGCCAACACTGTGGCATAATGGATTAAGCCACTGCCTGCAATGCCAGCATACCACATGGATGCCATTTTGTGTTCTGGCTGCTCTACTTCTGATCCAGCTCTCTGCTAATGCACCTGGCAAAGCAGTGGAAGACGGCTCAAGTCTTTGGGCCCCCACACCCACGTGGGAGACCCTGGCTTTGGCCTGGCCTAAGCCTGGCTGTTGCAGCTATTTGAGTAATGAATGAGTAGATGCAAGCTCTCTCTCTTTTTATTTCCCTCTCTCTCTGTAATTCTACCTTTCAAATACATAAAACAAATCTTACCAACCACCCCCCCAAAAAAAGAAAAAAGGGATGGCAGAAAAGGTGGTTTGATAAATGGTTTGAAGCAGTTGAAGCAGATGAGAATGGAATAGAGGGTTATTTAAGAAGCAGAGAAGATATCTTTGGAAGCAATAATAAAGATGACCTAAGAAACACCAGCCTTAGAAATACACAAGGGGGGCCGGTGCCGTGACTCACTAGGCTAATCCTCCGCCTTGCGGCGCTGGCACACCGGGTTCTAGTCCCGGTTGCTCCTCTTCCAGGCCAGCTCTCTGCTGTGGCCAGGGAGTGCAGTGGAGGATGACCCAAGTGCTTGGGCCCTGCACCCATGGGAGACCAGGAGAAGCACCTGGCTCCTGCCATCGGATCAGCGCACTGCGCTGGCCGCAGTGCACCGGCCGCGGTGGCCATTGGAGGGTGAACCAACGGCAAAAGGAAGACCTTTCTCTCTGTCCCTCTCTCTCTCACTGTCCACTCTGCCTGTCAAAAAAATAAAAATAAAAATAAAAAAAAAATAAAAGAAAAGAAAAGAAATACACAAGGGGGTTGGCACTGTGGTGTAGCAGGTAAAGCCTCTGCCTGCACTGCTGGCATCCCATATAGACACAGGTTTGAGTCCTGGCTGCTCCACTTCTGATCCGGCTCTCTGCTATGGCCTGGAAAGCAATAGAAGATGGCCCAAGTGCTTGGGCCCCTTAGGAAGACCAGAAGAAGTTCCTGGCTCCTGGCTTTGGATCAGCCCAGCTCCAGCCGTTGAAGCCATCTGGGGACTTAACCAGTGGATGGAAGACCTCTCTCTGCTTCTCTGTAACGATGCCTTTCAAATAAATAAATAAATCTTTCTTTAAAAATACACAAATAAAAAAAGATTAAAAAAATGCACAGGTCATAGTGGGGAATGGTTGCTCAGGAGATAAGAGGAAGTGATGGACAGCACTGGAGAAGGAAGCATTAAGAAGGGAGAAAAACAGGACTAATGCATCCTGGGAAGCCATAGATGGCTCAAGCACTTGGGTCCCCACTACCAACATGGGAGACCCAGATAGTGTTCTGGGCTCTGGGCTTCCACCTGGCCTAGACCTGGCTGTTTCAGTCATTTGGGCAGTGAACCAACAGATGGAAGATCTCTATCATTCCACATTGCCTTTCAAGTAAATGAAAATAAATAAACATGAGAGAGCGAGCGAGAAAGAAAGAAAAAGGTGCTCTTGGTTTCCTAATGCCTTTAACAATGACATGATATTTTATTCTCCAAATAAGAATGCTGACAGGCTGGATGGTGAAATGATGAACTATTTAGTCTATTTTTTTAATTTCAATTAACAAGCACAGCAAGGTGATATGCTTTACATATTTCAAACCACACAGGATTGGACTGGCAGGCAAAGATGTCTGATATCAAAGGTACTGTCATCACTGTAACCATGCTAATTGAATTCAGAGTGGTATCATCGTGGGCATCAATAAAGACTAAGGTTGCTTGTTTATTTATTTATTAATTTTGAGAGAGATATCATCAGTTAACTTGCATCTGATTACATTTATTTAGCATATCTCTTTACTATCTTACCACAAGTAACTGCCTTGTGTTGTTATAATACTCTATCAAACATGAATTAATTGGGACATTATCTCATTAAGCCTTTGTTACAGTTTGATTACCTTTGGTGTATTATGCCATTTCACTTTCAATAATAAATTTTCTCAAATTTAGCATCTAGTAAAATACCTCAAGTGTTTAAATATTTCCCAAGAGGCACTTTTTAATTGGCTTTCTTTAAATTAACAAAATAGTGTACTGACTTTGAGATGAAATGAATTAGTAATCTGAACTTTTTAATCTTAGTAAATAGTTTCCTAATAATAAAATGAGTTCAGCTGGATCCCAAGACCTAGTATCTTCTGAAAAAAAAAATAACATATTTATTCTGGATTACTATATTAACAGTATTCACAGACATAACTGGTACAGCATAAAACTAGAGTTATAGTTCCTGCTTAGTGATTAAAGCTAAAACAGTCAACAAACAGTATATATAGGAATTTTCTAAGTGAAAAATCCTTGATAACTAAGCTTAAAATGGTAATGTTCTACAGACAACTAGACCTCTCAGCCTAGCTCAAAAAAACAGAAATTATTAGACTACATGAGCAAATGTGTATAAATAATGATTTAAATTACCTGTCTTCTTCTCGAACCCATACTGGAGTTTTAGGAATTTGTGCTTCAAAAAACTTAGAGGCTTTGTAACAAAAATTGCTGCAAAAACACTGAAAAGAACATTTTAAAACTAGTTTTCTTATTGTGAAATATTAACTATATACAGAAGAGTAAAAAAAATACATGTGTAATTTTAAAGAATACAGAGAAAACCCATGAATCTACCACTCACATACAGTACCTTTGAAGGCCTCCATGTGTTTCTCCCCAACTGCACTGCCCTCCATGTGCCCCAGCAGTAACCATTATCACAGATTTGGGGTTAAACATTCTCTTATTTTTCTTTAGTTTTACCACCTGTATCTTACCCCTATAAAACATTATCATCCAGTTTTGCCTTTTTAAAATGTTATCTAAATGGAATCATATTGTCATGTATTGTTATCTTTTATTCTGTTGTTCAAAATTATATTTTTAGATTCATTCTGGTAGCTTATTCATTTTCACTGTGTATTATACTTCATTGTCTTAGTATATTGCACTTTATTCTTTATGGACAACTGAGCTCTTTGTAATGTTTTACTACTGCTATAAAATTTAGCATATTAACTATTTATTAAGTGTATAGTTTGGAGGCATGAAGTACATAAAATTGATGTTTCCATGTAAACTGAGGCAGGGGTCAATTCTCATTTTTCCATCTGGATAACTAGTTGTGCCAGTACTAGGTACTGAAAAATCCATGCTTGCTTTATTAATCTACAACACACACAGTACTATGTTTCAAGTGTCCACATATTTGGTAAGTCTGTTATTCTGTTCCATGATTTACTTGGCCTAGATTTGTGCACTTTTAAGTTTTAAACACTGAAGTCTTAAGAGATGCTCAAGCAAGGAATTTTTTAGTACCTTGACTGAAATACTTACAACTAGAAACAAACTTTTAACATAGTTATTTTCTAACAGGCAAGATTTTATAATTATTTTCAGAATTCTATTTCATATATTGAAAATTAGCTGTTACCTTGAAAATAGCCTTCAAACTTACCTTTCTTTCAGTAATATCATACACTTTATTGGTTTTGGTAGAAATTTTATATTTCTGTTTTGGTACCTAAGGAAAATTAAGTACAGCTTACAAAAGAATCTAAGTAATAAACATGAACATTATATTACAAGATTAAGACTTCTACACATCACATATTTAGCTAATCCATACCATTAGTGTATCATTTCATTTCCTGATCTTTCTGTAAGTATTTTGCTAAATAAAAATATATAAGTAAATAAAGGCCTATATTTTAAAAACTAGTTATGGGCTGGCGCTGTGTAGTAGCAGGTAAAGCCTACCGAACCCACATGGGTGCTGGTTTGAGTCCCAGCTGCTCCACTTCTGATCCAGCTCTCTGCTATAGCCTAGGAAAGCAGTTGAAGATAGTCCAAGTCCTTGGGTCCCTGTATCCAGATGGGAAACCTGGAAGAAGCTCCAGGCTCCTGGTTTCAGATCAGCACAGCTCCAGCTATTGCAGCCATTTGGGGAGTGAACAAGCAGAAGGAAGACCTATCTCTCACTCTGCGGATGGAAGACCTCTCTCTCTGCCTCTGCCTCTGCCTCTCTGTAACTCAGCCTTTCAAATAAATAAATCTTAAAAAAAAAAAAAGCTAAAGAAACCTTAGAGCAAAAAAAAAAATCACAAAAGCCTGGAAGTACTTTAAAAAAAAAGAAAAAAACACTAGTTACTTACAATTCCCAGTTTCTTTTGACATAAAGGGTAGCCACAGAGTTTGATAATAGAACGCTCATCCACGACATCACTGTAGTGAGCAGGTGTGATAAACATACCCTATAAAGAAATGAGACAGAGGTTTCTCCCAGATCAATGGAAATGCGACTTATCAGCTCTCTAAGCTTCAAGAATCTCATCTGCAAACACAGACAATAGTATCCACCTTAAAAACTCTGAAGTTAGAGGAGAAAATAAAAGCCACTTAAAGTGTTTGACATATAGTTAGCACCCCAAAAATGGTATTATTAAAACAAACATGTCTGCCACAGCAGATTATGCATATTAATAGATAAGTTTATGAAGTAATTCTGAGACAGAGAAGTGATGATACAGCTATAGCAAAGCTGAATAATGACAGTATCTTTTATTTTTAAAAAAAGTCATATTCAAGTGACTAGAGACTATTAGTTGAAGGGAAGAGTTGAAGGAACAAGGACAAAGGCAGCAAGGTGACTACAGAACACAATAATGCATTACACATTGCATAAAGAACTGGAGGAGAGGAGCTGGTAGGCTTCAAACATGGAGGAGGAAGCGGGGGGAGGTAAGGATGCTGATTGCCTGATTTGATCAGTGAGTGTTGTATGCATGAGTTGAAATACTGCACTGTGCCCCATAAAGGTATACAATTATGTTAACCAAAAATTTTTAAAGATACATTTATTCAAAAAGTATACTAACAATGTAAAGTTAATAAAATATGATTTTACTTATTTTCTAAAAGTAAAATCTGAAAAAAAAGTTATATTAAAAGATTTCATTGTCACTCTTCAGCAAATTTCTGTCCAAAACTTTTCTGCTCCTGAAAAAACTGCACAGAATGGTAAGAAGCTGACATCAAATATTTTCCTTTGACATCTTCATGTTCACATTGCTTTTCTTGTTTCACAACTTCGAGAACTTTAACAAGTTTTTCAGTTTTCACAGTAATTGCTATACTCTTTGTTGAAAGTGACATTGTTACAAATGAAGCATTTCTGTTTTGTCTGTTTTCTTTAGTGTCATCATGCATGTAGATTCTGATGCAGTAACCTATATCAATTTATAATACTGTCCTGTTTATATTTCTCTTATTTAGCGCGGCGGCTCACTAGGCTAATCCTCCGCCTTGCGGCGCCGGCACACCGCTTGGGCCCTGCACCCCATGGGAGACCAGGAAAAGCACCTGGCTCCTGCCATCAGATCAGCACAGTGCGCCGGCCGCAGCTGGCCGTGGCGGCCATTGGAGGGTGAACCAACGGCAAAGGAAGACCTTTCTCTCTGTCTCTCTCACTGCCCACTCTGCCTGTCAAAAAAAAAATATAAAAAAATAAAAAAAATTCCAAAATATGCCAAGAATTATTTTTGCAACAGAACCTCTGAGTTTTAGTTTTTTCTCTTAAGGATTATGATGACACAAAAGAGATTTTTATTCAAAAATTTAACACAATAAAGCTGCTTAAAAAAAAAATTTAATTCAGATTGCAATTTTCTTATTTTGTGTCTAGTCATAAAAGACTAATAAACCAGGCTTTTAAAAATATCAAAATAAATTACATTAACAAAAATAACACTGTTTGTTAAAATAGCACAACAGCATATTAGAAAACTGACACTGTGACCATAAACACAAAGTGAGGAAAATCAAGTGGTATTAGCAGATTTATTAAAAGAACTACAACGAAGGGGTAAAATATACCTATCCATCTTTAACTTCTTATTTTTAATTGACAAATAATAACTGTATACAGTTATGGGGTACATGTTTCAACACATATATACATTGTGGAATGAGCAAATTAGGTCATAACAAATCCAGTTCATATACTTATCATTTCTTTGCAGTGAGGACATTAAAAATCTACTCTTTTAGTAATTTTGAAGCATACATTATTACCTATAATCATTTTGCTATGTACTTGTTATTTTTCATTAGCATATTTGGAAGTCATTATACAATGAAAAATGCATGGCACTTGATTATTTTAAAAGGTACAAGTTATATAGCTTGTTAGATATATGTAATGACTGAAAACAGTTTCAAAGATTTCAATAATGCAAATACATTTCATGTTGTACTGATTTAAAGATATTATACCACAAAACTAATAATTTACCAACTTAACACATACACATTCCATTAGGAATTCTTCTGTAATATTCTCTTCCAAGAGCTGTTCAACAATACGTAGAGCTTTTCTCTCAAACTCAATCTTCCTTCTCACAGCTGCTTCTAGTTCTGCCTTCCTAAAATTTTAATGAGAAAGTTAATCTATATATGAGCTTTATTATGTCCAATATTCCATGTTTTAAATCCAACACTAGCCTAACCCACTGTTGTGCCTACACACAAACACACACACACACACACACATTTAAAGATTTTATGCGATGAAAGGCAGAGTTACAGAAAGATAGAGAGAGAGAGATCTTCTATCTGCTGGTTCACTCCTCAAATGGCCACAATGGCCAGGGCAGGGCCAGGTCAAAGCCAGGAACCAGGACCTTCTTCTGGGTCTCCCACATGAGTGCGGGGAGCCAAGCACTTGGCCATCCTCCTCTGCTTTCCTAGGCTAATTAGCAAGGAGCTGGATTGGAAGTGGAGCAGCTGAGACTTGAACTGGCACCCACATGGGATGCCGGCATTGCAGACGGCGACTTAACCCATTAAGCCACAATGCCAGCCCCAAGTTCATATTTTTTTAATAACTGTTACTGTTGATCCAACACTCTTCAAAAATAAAACAAGCTAGCTGTTGCCCTGTATAGACCAAAAAAATCAGTCATAATGGTTACTGCCAGGATCAGAACACAAGCAAGCATTTAGTGACTTCTATAGTTAACAGGACGAGATTTTTTTTTTCCTATTAAGAGTTTATACTCTTCACTCTCACGTGTATCTAAAAAGGGATGCTTTTTCTTTGGTAAGTAGCCAGAAATCCAAACAGATTAGAGAGGAAAAAACATGACATCTGTTGTTTTTATAAGCAGAAATTTCTGTCAAGTCTCAAAGTTAACTGGTAGTCAATTAACAAAACAGAGTCACATTTGAAAGATGCGTTCACTTACTTTTGTTGTGGAGAATGTATGATTTGGGGCAGGCATTTGGTCAATGGTTGAAATCTTAGTTAAGATGACCTGTGCCCCGTATTGGAGTACCCAGGTTTGACACCTCCAGCTCCTGACTCCAGCTTCCTGTTAATGTAGACCCTGAGAGGCAACCTTGGCTCAAGGGTTGAGTTCCTGGCATCCATGTGGTAGACCTGGATTGTGTTTCCAGCTCCTGCCCCAACCACAAATCCAGCCACTGTGAAGATGTGGGCAGTGAACCAGAGGATGCGAGCTTTCTATGTCTGTCTGTTTCTCTCTGTCTCTGCTTGTCAAATAAATTAAAAAAAAAAAAAAAATTGCAAGGAAAGCTTGTTCTTGCCTTTTACTAGTGGGACTAGGTGAGCCTTTGCTGGTACCCTTGCATTACAGAATATAAAAGCAGAGATTGGATGATCAAACAATAGTCCCTAAAACAGTAGTTTTAAAATCCCATCTGCACATTAAGATCATCTGAGGAGACCTTTTAAAAAAAGGTACTATGTCTAGGTTCCACCGTAGACTAAATTAGAATTCTGAGGATAGGGCATAGTTTGGGCTTTTTTTTTTTTTTTTTTTTTTTTTTGACAGGCAGAGTGGATAGTGAGAGAGAGAGAGAGAGACAGAGAGAAAGGTCTTCCTTTGCTGTTGGTTCACCCTCCAATGGCCGCCACGGCCAGCTGCGGCCGGTGCACCGTGCTGATCTGATGGCAGGAGCCAGGTGCTTCTCCTGGTCTCCCATGGGGTGCAGGGCCCAAGCACTTGGGCCATCCTCCACTGCACTCCCTGGCCACAGCAGAGAGCTGGCCTGGAAGAGGGGCAACCGGGACAGAATCCAGCGCCCCGACCGGGACTAGAACCCGGTGTGCCAGCGCCGCAAGGCGGAGGATTAACCTAGTGAGCCGCGGCGCCGGCCGGTTTGGGCATTTTTTAAAAAGTGCTTAGATAGGGGCCGGTGCTGTGGCGCAGTGGGTTAACACCATGGCCTGAAGCACTGGCATCCCATATGGGCGACGGTTCGAAACCCAGCTGCTCCACTTCCAATCCAGCTCTCTACTATGGCCTTGAAAAGCAGCGGCAGATGGCCCAAGTACTTGGGCCCCTGCACCCACGTGGGAGACCTGGAAGAAGCTCCTGGCTCCTGGCTTCGGATTGGCGCACCTGTGGCCATTGCAGCCAATTGGATCGTGAACCATCGGATGGAAGACCTCTCTCTCTCTCTCTCTCTCTGCCTCTCCTTCTCTTTTTGTGTAACTCTGACTTTCAAATAAATAAATAAATCTAAAAAAAAAAGTGCTTAATCTTACTGTGCAACAGGATTGAGGGTGCCATAGACCAAAGATATCAACCATACTGGTGACTCATTTGTTTCTCTCCTGTCCTGGTCTCTGCTTGCCTACCAAAACCACCTTTGCTGGTTTCTTGGACCTTGACATACCTCTCACATTCAGATCTAGAATGCAGTCACTTTTTTTTTTTTTTTTTTTGACAGGCAGAGTGGACAGTGAGAGAGAGACAGAGAGAAAGGTCTTCCTTTGCCGTTGGTTCACCCTCCAATGGCCGCCGCGGCCGGCGCATCCCGCTGATCTGAAGCCAGGAGCCAGGTGCTTCTCCTGGTCTCCCATGCGGGTGCAGGGCCCAAGGACTTGGGCCATCCTCCACTGCACTCCCTGGCCATAGCAGAGAGCTGGACTGGAAGAGGGGCAACCAGGACAGAATCCGGCGCCCCGACCAGGACTAGAACCCCGTGTGCTGGCGCCGCAAGGCAGAGGATTAGCCTATTGAGCCACGGTGCTGGCCAGCAGTCACTTTTCATCCTAGTTTTCATCATCGATATCTTAGACTTTAGACTTGCCTGGAGCAACACACTTTACAAAAACAAATTGGAGAACTGATGTAGTTTTGCCAACAATTCACCTAACAGGAATCTTAAAACAAGAATTTTGCAACATTCATTCTCCCATCATTTCATAAAGGCTATTTTTATATGAAAGAAGTATAAAATACATGAATACAGTTTATATGGCCATTTTTTATACTGAATATTTAGTTTCATGAAAACTCATTATTTATTTTTATCATTTTGCTGTCTACCAATAAAAGATTCGCCATGTAGTAGACAGGGCCGGAGTTGTAGCATAGTGGGTTAAGCTGCTGCTGCTGATGCCGGCATCCCATATAGGCACTGGTTGGAGTCTCAGCTGCTCCACTTCCAATTGAGCCCCTTGATAATTTACTGGGGAAAGCAGTGGAAGATGGCCCAAGTACTTGGCCACCTGCCACCCTCGTGGGAGACCTGGATAGAATTCCAGGCTCCTGGCTTTGGCCTGGCCCAGCGCCAGCCATTGTGGCCGTTTGGAGAGAGAACCAGTGGATTGAAGATGTGTCTGCTGCCTGTCTGTCTCTCTGTCTGTAACTCTGCCTTTCAAAAAAAAAAATTTAAATATTTGGGGAAAAAAAGATCAATAGACAACCCACATTACAAAACTGCTGTCTCATCAATCACTCTAACCTGTGATAACAGCCACATTCCTCTTCACTGATAGATACTAGAGCTGCTGCCCTCTGCCCCAACATACAATAGGAAGTGCATATACAGGGGCAGTTCACAAACTTTTTGTTCTCAAGACCCCTTGATAGCCTTAAAATTAGAACCTTTGCTTATGTGGGTTACATCTAACAATAGTTACAATAGGACTGAAACTAAGAATTGTAAAAGTATTTATTTATTAATTCATTGAATATTAATTAATGCATTCATTACATGTTAACATTTTCAAAGAAAAAATTTTGTGAGAGAAGTAGAATTAATCCCTATTTTATCAAGTCTATTCAATATCTGTTTTAATAGTAGTTGCCTGGATTCAATATAGACGTATTTTTCAGTTTGAATAAACTATTTTAGAGGGTCTCTTCTCTCAACAATTATTTGGCTACTCCTACGGATTTCTTTTCTTTCTTTTTTTTTTTTCAGTTGTTTCAGCATCCTGGGTGATCTGCTCAAAACAGATTTCAAAGCTTACCTATTTTGCTCAAATTGTAGGAAATGTGATCTCCACAGGATTGTGGTCAGATCAGTTATAAGGACAGCTGCAAATCACCATCACACTCGATATTTCCAAAAGTTAGTATTATGTTACTCCACAGGGAAATACTCTCTAAAACAGACCCCAGAGCCATCCAGTTCTCCACTCATGGATGACCACCACTCCTCGGGTTTTAAAACTTTTAGAACTTTGGCTGGTCTCGCAGCTCACTAGGCTAATCCTCCGCCTCCGGCGCCGGTACCCCGGGTTCTAATCCCAGCTGGGGCACTGGTTCTGTCCCAGTTGCTCCTCTTCCAGGCCAGCTCTCTGCTGTGGCCCGATAAGGCAGTGGAAGATGGCCCAAGTGCTTGGGCCCTGCACCCACATGGGAGACCAGGAGGAAGCACCTGGCTCCTGGCTTCAGATTGGCACAGCACGCCGGCCATAGCAGCCATTAGGGGGGTGAACCAATGGAAGGAAGACCTTTCTCTCTGTCTCTCTCTCACTGTCTAACTCTGCCTGTCAAAAAAGAACCAAAAAACAAAAAACAAACTTTTAGAACTTAAATCCCACTACGTTGTTTCTTAAAGCTTTCGCCTTCGCACGTAGACAATCTTCACGTCTCATCACAGCCTCCCAGTCTCCGTCTGAGCCTTCCTCATGCTTTCTTCCCTTGCGCTAGTGTGGCACCTCACCCTCGGCATCTCTTTATTTGAAGCGGTTCTTTGGCTGGAGGTCTCGTCTCACTACTCTTTATATGGTTCACACCTATTTAGCCTTCATGGCTCAGCTTCATTGGTATTTCCTCAGAGAAGTTTTTTCCCTGGAAACCCACAGCCAACTTCCCTACCACCCTCAACTTCACTGGACTTTTGTTATTACTTCCTCCTCCTAACATCATAGCCTAACTTATCACTTTGCTATTTGCATTGGTTTAATTAGTATGTCTCTTTTTCACTAGACAAGAACTATGTCTACTATGTTAACATCACACCCTCAGAGCCTAACAAAAGTTTGAAATATCTCATCCTCAGTAAATAATTTCTGAAGGAGGCTGGCGCCCGCGGCTCACTAGGCTAATCCTCCGCCTGCGGCGCCAGCACACCAGGTCCTAGTCCCGGTCGCTCCTCTTCCTGTCCAGCTCTCTGCTGTGGCCAGGGAGTACAGTGGAGGATGGCCCAAGTGCTTGGGCCCTGCACCCGCATGGGAGACCAGAGACCAGGAGAAGCACCTGGCTCCTGGCTTCGGATCAGTGTGGTGCACTGGCCGCAGCGGCCATTGGAGGGTGAACCAACAGAAAAAAAGGAAGACCTTTCTCTCTGTCTCTCTCACTGTCCACTCTGCCTGTCAAAAATAATAATAATTTCTGAAGGAATGAGTAAATTAAGGCCAAAGTGAATATAAGATTAGTGAATCTTCAGAAAGTGATAAATCATATATATGATTTATATATACATATACACGCAAAAACACACACACACTTTTTAAGCCCCTTCACTGACTGTTCCTTTTCCAGAAAACTTGTGACATGAGATAGTATCTTGCCTTTAAAAAAAAATTTACCTGAGAGGCAAAGAGACAGAGAGAGAGACAGATAAAGAACTCCCATATGATGGTTCATTCAGAAAATGCTTGCAATGGCTAGGGCTAGACTAGGGTTGAAGCCAGAAGCTGGGAATCCAATCCAGGTCTCCCATGTAGTTGGCAGGGACCTAATTATTGGAACCATCACTGCTGCCTCCCAGGGTCTGAACCGGCAGGAAGCTGAAGTTAGAAGCTAGAGCCAGGAATTGAACCCAGACTTCGAAGTGGCACGTGGCTTCTCAACCACTAGGCCAAACACCCACCCATATCTTGCCTTTGAAGAAATCAAAAGACAGTACAGGATAGCTTTTTGATGAAAATCTGGACTTTATGTAACAAACAACAGAAAGGTTTTTCAGAGTGCCAGAGACATGTCTGAACAGTGACTCAGTCTCTAACATATAAAGCAATAAAAGAAGAGTGTACCTAAAAAGGTGGGAAGGGGGATCTGGGTAAATCAGTAACGTTGTTACCAGACACCTTCCTACAGATATTGGTATCTTTAACCAGCAGTCTGAGTGTCTAGGTTGGTTTTGTTTTATTTAATTCATTTGAAAGGCAGAGAGACAGAGATCTCCCTTTTACTGGTTTACTCCCCAAACGCTTGCAACTGCCAGGGTTGGCCCTGCTAAAGCTAGGAGCCAGGAACTCAATCTGGGACTCCCAAGTAGGTTGCAGGGTCCCAACTACTTGAGTCATCACCTGCAGTCTCCCAAGGTGTGCATTAGAAGGAAGCTGGAATTGGAAATGGAGCCAGGACTGGATCCCATGCATGTTGACATGGCACACAGACCACCCCAAGTGGCATTTTAACAGTTGCACCAAGTGCCCACCCTCTAGTTTGGTTCTCTTAAAGCCTGGAGGAGAGGGATGTAACAACTTACAGTGCTTTCCTTGCATCATAATTGTCTCCCAATAGACTGGTTTAATTAATACAATACTGGTTTAATAATAAAGACTGGTTTAATTAATACTGGTTTAATAATAAAGACTGGTTTAATTAATTCAAGGCACACAGATAAGCGAATGCAGTTGTTCAAGCAGTTCTCTTACCTTTTAGAAGCATCTTCTGATTTCAAGGCTCTTGTCTGTTTAGTGCCTACAATTTAAGAACTATATATATAGGTCAACTCTACACCAACATATCAGATGCAGCAGACTCCTACCCAAATAACAAACTGTAGCCCACCTTCTCTTTTTCATTTCCAATTATATGTGTAAATCAAAACGCAACTGGAAGGGAAACCAATTTCTTTGTAAATTAACTACTCCCTCATTTTTCTTAGTTACAACGTTATCTCTTTTGGTGACTGAATAGGCTCAGTGTCACAGCTGCTTAATCAAGCACTCCTAAAAATCCGAGATCGGAGTACTTTCTCACAATCCCCCAACCGTTCACTCCCAGGAGGAGAGAGGCGAGTCCAACACCTCCGAGGACAGGTCCAAGGTTTAAGGCAGATTGTATACGCTGCCAACCTCGCCCTGGTCACTCGCCCACCCTGGGGACCCCAGCTCTGGGCTCCCAGAACCCCCACTGCCCTTTCCTTCACACAACCCCCGTATCAAGGGTTCAGCTCCAACGGGGAGATCTTTCCCAAAACGCGCAAGGACTGCGGTGCAAAGCTCTAGGCCTCCTCTGCACCAGACAACCCTCCCCTAGGGCAGTCTTTCGAGAGCACCCACGCGCCTCCGGCCAGAATTCCGTCGGGATCCTGTCCCGGGGCTCCAAACGGGGGAAGAGGACCCTGTTCCTACCTTTGGCGTTTCGGGAGGCGCGAGGAGCCCGGGCCTTCCGGCCGGGAGAACACGACTCCAGCCAGTCAGCCATGGGAGTCAGCCTTGAGAAAGCCAGGAACCTCCTCCGGCGACTCCCGCCCCCGCGAGGCCCCGCCCCCTACGCACAGCGCGGGGCGGGCCTGCCGCGGCGGGGCGGGGCCGGGGGCGGGGCCGGGAGAGCGACCTGCGCGGCCCGAAGACGAGGTGGTGGAGTGGGTAGAGAAGGCGCGAGGTCTGGCCGGTAGGTGGACGCGCCGAGAGCCGTGGGGCGGCAGGGGCTCGCGGCTGCTGGTGAGCGGCGGAGGACTGGGTGCCGCGGGCCTTGGAGGCCCCCGCTGGGTGGTGGGGCCGGAACGTCTGGGCGAGCCGGAGAAATGGCCTCCTCTGGATGCCGCCCGCACGCGTGCGAGGGTGTTACCGGCCTGTGAGCGCGCTGCCTGAAGACCCTGCTGACCTGCGCCGGCTCTGCGGGCCTGGAGGCGCGGGGCCAGCGACGGTGAGCGGGGGCGGAGCGGTGCCCTGCTCCTGAGCGCTTGCCGGGGCTCGGCGGGGCGGTTTCGCCGGATTGATGACTTTGGGGACTGCAGCTCTCAGACATGGGATGGAGGGCATCTGAGCCTTCACCCTCTCTGGGTGGTTTAGTTGTATTGCACCCTCCCCCCTTTTTGGGTCAACTTTGTATTAAAAAGTAAACAATTGCCGAACAAAATTTTTATTTCAAGTCCGCCTTTTGGAAATACTTTTGTATTTGCCTCGCTTTTTGGGAGTGCTCCTTGGGTTTTTGTTTTTGTTATTTAAGGTATCTGAAAACTATGCTCCTGGAAGACTTAAAAGGTGAATAAGAAAAAAAATGCAAGAGTCTTAAAAAATCGTTGATTTCTTACTATAAGTAGTAGTAACATTTCGACTACAAAACTTTGCATTTTCTTTATTGTTTACTAATGTTCATCATAAGTTATGTATGCATGAATACATCAGTGGGATATTACACAGTTAACTGTTTTTCTTAGTACATTTCAGCGACAGAACTAGGATATATAAGGAGAAATGGCTGTAGAGGAACTTCAATCCATAATAAAAAGATGTGTAAGTGATTTTTTTGTCTTTTTGTAAAGTTAAATACCTTTCAAAACACCTAAGGGTATAGATTATTTTTAAATAGTTTTGTGTTTATCTTCTTTAATCCCTGCTCCTTTTGATCTATAAATAGAATGAGGGCAGGAAGGCACATTGGATTATTTCTCCAGGTAACATACTGATCTAAATAACCTTTTTACTGTTAATACTGATCCTTTTCCCTCGGTTTCTTTGGTACAGTGGATTTTGAGATCATTAAAGTACTTAGTTTTTTGTTTTGTTTTTACCAGCAAATACTAGAAGAGCAAGACTTTAAAGAAGAAGATTTTGGCCTATTTCAGATAGCAGGCCAAAGATGCCTAGAAGAAGGGCATATAACCCAGCTCTTAGAAATTATTCAAAATGAAAAGAATAAGGTAAGTTCTATCTTTGTGTTTACTTTTTAGTCTTTATTTGGGAAGAGAATAATCACATGATGCCATTATTCATCCCTTCTTTTATGTATCACACATTTAAGAATCAACTTAAACTTCCACAGTAGGAAACTGTGGAAGACAAAAAAGAAACTAGGAATGTTTCTGTACCTTAAGGTAGATAGAGTCTGGTGCAAGAGAGAAACATGGAGGCAACTAGCAGTAAGGAAGCAGAATAAATGAAAGAAATGCTGGGAAGTCTAAGTGAAGGCTTTACAAGGAGCACTATTACTTCTGGTTTAGGGAGGCAGCTGTGGCATTTTAACTGTTAATTTACATTGAGAAGTAGAAGTAACAGGCTCATTTTTAAGGAGCAGCCCTTTCTCCAGCTGGAGTGGTTATGGAAAGCCAAATTTTAATTAAGAAATATATTACACAAAATATTTTTGTGTATAATGTTACAAGAAGAGAAAGCTGAGTGACCTTACTGACCTTACTGGCCAATATTTTCCCACTGAAATGGTCTAAGATATCATTCTCCACATTGGGAAAGGATCTTGTTTGTGGATCAGGAACAGTTTCTTCCTGGGACACAGTGTTGGGAACACACTGCCAGATTTTCTGTCTTTGGACTCCCCTTCTTGACTCTAGGGAACATTGTGTTCTTTCTAGGAATATGGTCTTTCTTCATTTTAAGTGCTATTTATTTATATGGAAGTTGTCTTTGTTGATATCACAATCTACCAATGCTGGTCTGTGATTCTGTCCAGGGCACATTGATTGGATTTGGGAGATTCCTAAGACTTTGATTGCAAATTGTTGTATAACTTAAATGACTTATCCCTTTTTAATTTTTTATTTTGTTTTTGATATGTGTCTAAAACTTTCTAGCAAAAATAAAGGAAATTTCATGTTTTTTCAAAACTCTTGATTTTTTTTACCAATTAACATTCTCAGAGGATAATCTTGAGTATATGTAGCTTTTATCAAATAACGAAATTAAATAACAGTACTTTTTACTGTGTGCCACATGCTATCCTAAGTAATTTATGTTTACTAACTTACTTAGTTTCTCCAGAATCCCAAAAGATAGGTACTACAAGGGTACTTCAAAAAGTTCATGAGCGGCTGGCACTGTGGCGTAGCAGGTTACGCTGCTGCTTGCAGCACTGGCATCCCCAATGGGTGCTGGTTCGGGTCCCAGCTGTTCCACTTCCAGTCCAGCCCTCTGCTAATGCGCCTGGGAAAGCAGAGAAGATGGCCCAAGTGCTTGGGGCCCTGTACCCACTTGGGAGACCCAAATGAAGCTCCTGGCTCCTGGCTTCTGTCTGGCCCACCCCTGGCTGTTGTAGCCATTTGGGGAATGAACCAGTGGATAAAAGATCTCTCCCTCTCTATAATTCTTACTTTCAAATAAATAATTTTAAAAAGTTCGTAAAACAAGTAAAAGATGTTTGTTTTGGTCCCAAGTCAGGAGATTAAGGTGTGGATTTGTGCATGACTGTTAAAGGTTAAGTAATTGAAGCAATGTGGGGAGAAAAAGAATTTGCCTGAGTTCACAGGAAGAGGAAAGAAGGGAAGAGGCCCAGAATCATCTTGAGGAATTAATGAACAGGTGAAGAGGAAGAGGCTGCCAGAAGACTGGCATCAGTGAGAGAGAGAGAAATGTCATTGTTCTTCATGCATTGCATACTCGAGTGCTTTATTTTTAGTATGCTTCAAAATAGCTAATGGGATAGATTTAAGTACAGTGTGGCTTAGTCTTAATAGCTGGAGAATCACCCTTCTATGGGTGATCTAAATGTAGAGGTTCAGACGTTCATAAGATGGTATTTAAAACTGACTGCCATTTAATTTTCTTGCCAGGTAAATCTATCAACATTGATGAGGGTTCTGTTAATCTGTTGTGTTTAATGTTTAAAAATATTTACCATATGTATAGTAATTTGTCCTAAGATTATATTGCAGGACTTATCAACCTTAATGCTATTAACGTTTGGAAGGGATAATGCTTTATTGTGTGGGCTGTCGTGTGCATTGCATGATAGTTAGCAGTAACCTTAGCCCCTACCTGTCAGATACCAGTATGAAAACCCTACCCCACCACCACCTCCAGTAATGACAACCAAAAATGTCTCCAGAAATTGCCCTATGTCCTCTTTGGAGGTAGGGGGCAAAACTGCCCCAGTGGAAATCTCTGATACAGGAGGAAAAGCATGGGCTTGGGAACTAGATAGTGTTACATGCAAACCCTGGCCCTGCCACATTTAGTTGTCAGATATTGAGCATGTTACTGATTTCTAAACTTTGGCATTCTCATTTATAAATCAGGGAAAACAATTTAACCCTGTATAGTTTTTATCTTTAGACAAAACAAGAATAGCATATCCTACCTGAAGGGTACTCAGTAAGTATTCTCTTCCTCATAACTATCTACCACTCCTCTTCCCTCAGAGCCGTGTGACATTTATGTTGACAGGTTACCTTGTAGGTAATAGTATGTTTGTAAAATATATTGTAGGGCCGGCGCCGCGGCTCACTAGGCTAATCCTCCGCCTAGCGGCGCCGGCACACCGGGTTCTAGTCCTGGTCGGGGTGCCGGATTCTGTCCAGTTGCCCCTCTTCCAGGCCAGCCCTCTGCTGTGGCCAGGGAGTGCAGTGGAGGATGGCCCAGGTGCTTGGGCCCTGCACCCCATGGGAGACCAGGAAAAGCACCTGGCTCCTGCCATCGGATCAGCGCAGTGCGCCGGCCGCGGTGGCCATTGGAGGGTGAACCAACGGCAAAGGAAGACCTTTCTCTCTGTCTCTCTCTCTCACTGTCCACTCTGCCTGTCAGAAAAAAAAAAAAAATGTAAAAAATCTCACTCAGATCTGAGATTCCCATTTATTCTTCAGTGGATCACTTAAAGGGTAAAAAATAGGCTTATAAAAAAGGAAAGAACCACTTATTTGTAAGAGAAGAAATTAATCTATAGAAATATAGGCTTTGTAATAAGTAATTTGGGATAAATATTTAATAATTTTGAAAAAAAACATTAGTAACCGAATAACATAAATTGCTGAGTAAAATCCTGAATGTTGCCCGTCAAGCCACACAAAAAGTAGACGAAAACAGAATATCAAATCTTTGGAGGTGAGATAATTTGTTATGCTTAAAAGTAATAGGGGGGCCGGCGCCGCGGCTCACTAGGCTAATCCTCCGCCTAGCGGCGCCGGCACACCGGGTTCTAGTCCCGGTTGGGGCGCCGGATTCTGTCCCGGTTGCCCCTCTTCCAGGCCAGCCCTCTGCTGTGGCCAGGGAGTGCAGTGGAGGATGGCCCAGGTGCTTGGGCCCTGCACCCCATGGGAGACCAGGAAAAGCACCTGGCTCCTGGCTCCTGCCATCAGATCAGCGCGGTGCGCCAGCCGCAGCGCGCCGGCCACGGCGGCCATTGGAGGGTGAACCAACGGCAAAAGGAAGACCTTTCTCTCTGTCTCTCTCTCTCACTGTCCACTCTGCCTGTAAAAAAAAAAAAAAAAAAGTAATAGCGACATTGCTTCTCAGCCTTTTGGCTAAGATCAAGTATAAAAGTAATAGGGACATCATTGTGGCACAGAGCATTAACTGCTGCTTGCAGTGCTGGCATCCCATATTCCAGTTGCTCCGCTTCTGATCCAGACCCCTGATGATGTGCCTGGAAGAGCAGCCGTTGATGACTCAAGTACTTGGGTCCCTGCAACCCATGTGAGAGACCTGGATGGAGTTACTGGCTCCTGGATTTGGCCTGGCCTACCCCAGATGATTGGGATATTTGGGGAGGGAACCAGTAGATGGAAAATCTCTGTCTCTCTGTCTCTCTCTCTCTGTCTCTCTCCCACTCTCCCCCTCTCTTCCTCACTGTTGCTTTGCCTTTCAAATAAATAAATAATAAATTATAAAAAAAATTTTTGACAGGCAGAGTTAGACCGTGAGAGAGAGACAGAGAGAAAGGTCTTTCTTCCGTTGGTTCACTCCCCAAATAGCCGCCACGGCCGGCGCTGCACCGATCTGAAGCCAGGAGCTGGGTGCTTCCTCCTGGTCTCCCATGTGGGTGCAGGGACCCAAGCACTTGGGCCATCCTCCACTGCACTCCCCGACCACAGCAGAGAGCTGGACTGGAAGAGGAGCAACTGGGACTAGTACCCAGCGCCCCAACCAAGACTAGAACCTGGGGTGCCAACACCGCAGGCGGAGGATTAGCGTAGTGAGCCACGACGCCTGCCATGAATGAATTTTTAAAAATAGAAGTAATAGACATCATTCAAACTGTATTTGTTGAATACCTATTTTGTAACAGGTTCTATTCTAATTGTGGGAAGTAAGCATAACCGTGAACAAAAGTCACTGGTCATATGGATCTTTAATTAAAATTAATGAAACAGATGCATACATGATAAATAAGTTATATAATATGTCAGAAAGTGGTAAATACTACAGAGAAAAATAAGGCAGAGTAAGGGAGGTGGACTGTGCTGTGTGACATTTCACAGAGATTTGAAGGAAGTCAGGATATAAACTCTGGGACTGTTTGGGGGAAGAGTGTACCAGGCAGAAGAAATAACTACCATTAGAAGAATATTCACAGAGAGCAACTGAATTAACTCATTAGGTTAAAACATATGATTGTTTGCTATTTATTAAAATCTAGATCTTCATTTTGTGTCATATTCAACATAAATTTTAATGAATAAGAGATACACATTTTAAAAAAATTTTAAAGAGTGTTTATAAATATGTAGAAGGGAAACCCACCTTGGACCTAAAAGTAGTAGAAGAGGAACTAAAGGAAAAATCATTACATGTGGTCATATGAAAAATGACAGGGTGGGGGCCGGCACTGTGGCACAGCGGGTTAAAGCCCTGGCCTGAAGCGCCAGCATCCCATATGGGCGCCAGTTCTAGTCCCGACTGCTCTTCCTATCCAGCTCTCTACTATGGCCTGGGAAAGCAAGAGAAGATGGCCCAAGTCAGTCCTTGGGTCCCTGCACCCACATGGGAGACCCGGAAGAAGCTCCTGGCTCCTGGCTTCGGATTGGCGCAGCTCCGGCAGTTGCGGCCATCTGGGGAATGAACCAGCAGATGGAAGACCTCTCTCTCTGTTCTACCTCTCTCTGTAACTGTCTTTCAAATAAATAAAATAAATCTTAAAAAAAAAAAAAAAGATGACAGGGTGAGTGTTAGGCCTCGTGCTTGCATCCCACCCTGCAGGAGTTGGGTTCAATTTCCATGTGTAGCTTCTTTTTTGTTTGTTTGGGTTTTTTTTGTTTGTTTGTTTGTTTTAATTTGACAGGCAGAGTTAGAGAAAGAGACAGAGAGAAAGGTCTTCCTTTCGTTGGTTCCCCCCCAAAGTGGCCGCCATGGCCAGCACTGCGCCGATCTGAAGCCATGAGCCAGGTGCTTCTTCCTGGTCTCCCATGTGGATGTAGCGGCCCAAGCACCTGGGCCATCCTCCACTGCTTTCCCGGGCCACAGCAGTCCTCTTCTGGACTGGAAGAGGAGCAACTGGGACTAGGACCGGGCGCCCATATGGGATGCTGGCGCCGCAGGCGGAGGATTAACCAAGTGAGCCTCGGCGCCGGCCCCACCGTGTGTAGCTTCTGATTGCAGCTTAATGGTGATGTGTACCCTGGGAAGTGGCAGTGATGGCTCACTTTTCTGGGTTCCTGCCACTCATAAGAGATTTGTGAATTGAGTTCTTGGCCCCTGGCTTCAGTCCCTCCAACTGTTGTTGGCAAACGGGAAGTGAGTCAAAGGATGGGAGCTCCCTGTATTTATCCAAACAGTGCTCTGGTTGACCTGCTCTAGCAATCAATAATAAAAAGCAAGGCCAACCAAAAACCCTAACAGGTTTTTGTCATAAAGAGATAACATTGACGTGTAGGTAGCACATGCAGATTGCTAAGACGAACACTGAAATAACTGGCTGGTAAGTGAGCAAAGATGTGAACAGATAGTATTTTCTCTTTTGTGAACTCTGTTTCACAAAACGTTCTCCACGATGGTTCTGTGGAACATGTTAAGCCTGTTTCAGAGTATTCAGTGAATTTTCCACTTAGCATTGCCTCACTGATTTCTCTGTATCTCCAAAAAGTCTTAACTTGGATTCTGGGATGTCTCTCCTGCTTTCTGCAAATGGAGATAACTATTCTCTTGTTAAACCTGCACTGACTTTCATTATCTTACAACACTGGAGTCAGGAAGAAGTATTGAGTATGCCATTCCATCATCTTCCTACGTCTGTTTTTAGAAATGGTTTATTTTCTATTTTTAGAGATTTATTTACTTATATTTGAAAGCCAGAATGACAGGGAAGGAGAAACTGAGATCTTCCATCTGCTGATTGACTCCCCAAATGCCTGCAATAGCTAGGATATGGCCAGGCTGACGCTAGGGGCCCAGCACTCCATCCAGGTTTCCAGCAGGAATGGTTAGGAACTTTAGAACTTGAGTCATTATCTGTTTCCCAGGATGCATTAGCAGGAAGCTAGATCAGTATGTGGAGTAAGCTTGAACCAGCACTTGGATAAGGGACTTGGGCATCCCAAACATCATCTTAATCTGCTGTGCTGTAGCGCCTGCACATTTTTGTTTCATTTTCAAATACTGAGCCTAGAAATGTACTCCATGAGGGTAGAAATCTTATCTGATGGGTTCCTAACCTTTGTCACCCATACTATATAGTGTATACTTGGTAAATGCTGATGAATTGAAGTACAAAGCAGGCTGGAGACGTGGAGTATAATACTTAAATTTTGAAAACCAGTGGTTTTGATAAGGAATGTGTATAACTGTATAATAAACTTTCTGTGATAAGCATTTTGAAATATTAATGAAGTTACATCCTTTCTTTTTATGTAAGTTACAAATGATTATGTTTAGAAATTCTGTAAGGAATTGACTGGATTTCCTTTATATATGGGAACAAAATTCCTTGTGGAAATTAAGTCATTGCTCATCTTAAGCAAATTATTTCTCTTTTTGGAAATAGAGAAGTTATTTATTTTTTAAATTTATTTTTTAAAGTTTAAAACTATAAAAAATAATAATTATTGGAACTATTTAAATCCTGGCAAGGTCAAGGTACCTGATAAAAAAGTAGACTCTTTTTCCTTTGCTCAATGAATATATTAAAAAACTGTTTTAAAGTACTGATATCTGGTAACAGCCAGCCCTGCAGAGTCACTGGTAAAATGTCGACCTTGTTGGCCTCATCTTTTCTGCTTGAGAAAATTCTCACCTTCTCCAAGTTAGGAAGCATACTACCAGAGTCCTGTAGATGGCAGTGTTTGCTTACTCCAAAAATGTTTTTACAGGTCATCTTTAAGACTATGGGCTGGAATCTTGTGGGACCTGTTGTTCGATGCCTTTTATGGAATGATAAAGAAGATGATAAAAGAAAAGATTATTATCAGATGCTTGATTTATTGGTAAAGGTAAGTTAACAAAACTGAGATCTTATAAAACACAGCAGAATCTTATAATTCCCTTTAATGTTTAATACTTGTTAGGTAAGAAAATTTTCGCTTCATGAAAATACATGCAGCAAAGGATTCTGGAGAAAAGCTCCATCTGATTAATTGGATGAGCAGAAATTCAGGATTTCCTGAATTTCCCGGGTATAAGAATTCTCTAACCTCTTTTTAGCCCCACTGATTCAGACTCTCCAGGGAGAGATCTGAGAAGCTATATTTTAGCAAGTACCCATGTGGTATAAATGGTGAATTCAAGGTTTAGTGAAGTAGTTCAAGGCTATGCTGATCTTTTGGCCACATTGGAATTAGAATCAAATGTCATTGCTCTTGCCTCTGGTATCTTCCCTGAAAGAATATGAAAAACCTAGAATACAGTCACAGTGGAACTGTAAATAGGAAGTAATACACAAGGTTCTACTGACAACCTTAGAGAGAGATCATTGATAAAAGACTAGTAGAGTTGTAAGTCAGTATATGATGGCTTAGAAATATAAATCTGAAGAAAAGGGATATTATTGGAAACCTCTTAGAGATCAGTGCAGATAAATGCAAATGTATACTTAAAACAGGGAACTTCATCTAGAAGTTTAAAAAACAAGACAAAGGGCAGGCATTTGGCCTAGCAAGTAAGACACCCACATCCCAGGTCAGAGTACGTGGGTTACATACCTAGCTCTGCTGCTGACTCCAGCTTACTGCTTAGGTAGGTCATGCAAGACAGTGCTGCTAGCTTAAGTGATTGGGTTTCTGCCACCCCCCTGGGAGGCCTGGATTCACTTCCTGGCTCCCTGCTTTGGCCCCAGTTAGGGATATTGTAGGCATTTGGAGAGTGAGCCAGCAGATGGGACCTCTGTATGTTGAATAAGTTTTTTTAAAAAACAAGTGAAGTGATAAGATGTGGCCAGTGGAAAAAGTAATGCAAAGTTGTATCTGTTCAGGAAGCACAGGAGAGAGTCTGGACAAGTCTTAAGTAGCCGGGCAGCATGGGGTAGGAAGCCCTGGGATCTAGCGCAGCCTTCAGAGTGAGCGGTGAAGGTCATGGCAAGCCTGAGCTCGGACCAGACTCTTCCTCCCCTAGTTCTCTAATATTTCCTTTTGACAATTGTGTAAGATGTTTTAAGCAAAAATAATTATATTATCTCAGTATATGCCTTCTTAAAATAGTAATCATGTGGCTTTAAATACAACTTGTATTAAACAGGTTCAATTGTGAATATTTTTATAGTTATGTAATCCAAAGGAATTATTGTTGGGTTTGCTTGAATTGATCGAAGAACCCTCTGGAAAACAGATATCCCAAATTATTCTTCTTTTACTTCAGCCATTGCAAACAGGTAATGAACATTTTGATATCAAAGTATTTCTTGTTTTAATTGTGTGAGTGCCTTGATATTTACCCTAAAATGTCAACAGTACACCAAAGTAAAATTTATGATGAATTATTGAGAATTGTGTTTAAGCTGGTAATAGCAATGTCAGTTTGAATCCTGTTGCTGTGTTTCTGGCACAGTATGGATACCCAGTAAATATTTTGTTGACTATCATACTAGCTTTCATGTGCTGTGGTGGAACCTCTAGCGTTTCCCCTATCCTTCCTATCTACAACTTGTATCTAGAATTTTTCCTCTAAGCATATTTAAATTATAACTTCTGTGGTGTCTAGTACTCAGTTGGATAGCATGGTGGCAGTCTTGGATCTTGGTTAAAAAGTATTAGAGGGCCTGGCGTTCTGGTTAAGCCACAGCCTGTAGCACTGGCATCCATCGAGTCCTGACTACTCCACTTCTGATCCAGCTCCCTGCTAATGTCCTGGGAAAGCAGCTGAAGATGGCCCAAGTCCTTGACCCCTGCACCCATGTGGGTAACCTGGATGAACCTCTTGGCTACTGGCTTCAGCCTGGCCTAGCCTTGGCCAATGTAGCCATTTGGGGAGTGAACCAGTGGATTGAGGATCTCTCAATTTCTCTCTCTCTCTGCCTTTCAAATAAATAAATAAATGTCAAAAAAAAAAATTCTGATAAAGCTCTCTATTAAAGCACCTGGAAGACAGCAGATGACACAAGTGCCTGGGCTCCTGACACCCAATAGGAGACCCATATGAAGCTCCTGGCTTCAGTCTGGCCCACCCCTGACTTTTATGGCTATTTGAGGAGTTAACCAGCAGGTGGAAATGCTAGCTGTCTCTGTCCTCTCTCTCTGTAACTCTACATTTGAAATAAATAAATCTTTAGAAAAAAAAAAAGCTAAAGAATTTTTTTAAAATTTTTTAAAAGGAAATACATACATTTTACTCTGACAGAGAGACTCAGAATCAGAAATTAAAATAAATTCATTTTAAATATGAATGGCCACAAGTTTTGTACCACTTGAAAGGTTCAGTCTTCTAGATAAAACTCTAATACTACCACCTCCCATTTGTATGGTGCTTTATAATTTATCAGACACACATATGGTATGCTTATAACCACCAAAAATATGGAAGGAATGTGTTTTTATATAACTGTGTAACCTGTGACAAATGTACCTAAAGATTTAATGGCATGTTTTGTAAAAGGCCCTGATTATAAGATGCTCCATTAATGTACACGCCACTAAGAAGGAAATAACGCTGTCCCTTAAGCTATGATATGTCATCTCGATTTCAGATTTGTTTAAATGTGAGGGGGAAAGAGTGCTTGGTAACTCTACCTACTGAACTTCTTTTCTTTTTTTAATTAAAAATATTTATTTATTTATTTGAAAGGCAAAGTTACTGTTTCATTCCCTAAATGGCTACAACAGCCTGGGGCTGGGCTAGGCCACAGCCAGGAGCCAGAAGCTTCATGTGAGTCTCCCAAATGGGTGTCTTCTGCTGCTTTTACCAGGCACATAAGCAGGAGCTGGGTAGAGGTAGAGCAGTCAGGACACAAACCTGTGCCCATATGGGATGTCAGAAGGCAGCAGCTTAACCTGCTGTGCCATAACGCCGCCGCTCTGTTGAACTTATCTCGTGTTTATTGTACTCAAGGTTACCTCAAGTAGCATCTTGGTCTCTGTTTCAGTGATTCAGAAACTCCCTAACAACAAAGCATATTCCGTTGGATTAGCATTGTCTACCCTTTGGAGTCAACTATCTCTTCTTCCGGTTCCATACTCAAAAGAACAAATACAGACAGATGACTATGGCCTCTGTCAATGTTGCAAGGCCTTGATAGGGTTTACTAAGCCATTTGTGGAAGAAGTCATTGATGCCAAAGAGAACTCAGTGGAAAATGAAAAGTTAAAGGATGAATTACTGAAATTGTAAGTATATTTTAAGAACATCTCACAGTGTATTTTAGAAATGGGTAGTTCAGTTATTTTATGTTTGTTTGCCTTGTTTGTCATGTAAATATAAATCTAGTTTCAGATTTTGAATTTTTTAAGAATATGTGGTTCAGTTGATATAACTAGCATGGACATTTGATGAGACATTCATATTTTTAAAACTTACGAAGCCCTAATCCATTCATTTAACTTTATATTCTGTGTTTTGCCCTTACTCATCAGAGTACACAATGAAAGTGGGGGGAATAGATATTGCAGCTCAGGAATCTGCCCCTTCTGTGGGGTAATTGTGTTTTTATTCTCCCTTGGAAAACAGCAAAAGGACCACTATACACTTGAACATCCAGCTTGACTACAAGAACAGCAGAAGGCCCAGCCATTAGCATGCATTCCAGGGGCACCAGGGATTGAACATACACTGTTCAACATGGCTGGTCCAAATTCATACGTGCAGGTTTATTTGAAAAATTGCCATATTGACTTGAGTTTTCTTGCACTAATGAAAACTACTCCCTGGACTGGCACTGGTTCCTCAGACAAGCATGAGAATTCATTGAACAGTCCAAACATAAAGTGGATTTCAACATATTGAATCTAACACGATGTTCTAATGTCTTCCCCATAAGACGTTATATCACCAGATTTCTAAGCTGTTAAGTTATTGGTACTTATTCTAGTTTGTGCTGCTATAAAAGGATGCCTAAGATTGGATAATTCATAATGAACAGAAATTTATTCACTCATACTCCTGGAGGATGAGAAGCCCAAGATCCAGACACTAGCATTTGTTGAAAGTCTTGTTTCATCATGTGGCAGAAGGGCAGAGAGGCAAAATGGGGCCAAGCTCGCTGTTTTAAAACAACATTAATCCCACTCATAAGGGTGGAGGCCTCACCTACTCTCCTGTCCACGGTCCCCTTTCTGAATATTCTTAGAGTGTCAGTTGAGTTTCAACTTGAGTTTTAGAGGCGACAGATATTCAAACCATAGCAGTGCTTAGGTTATTTTTCCTGTAAACTTAATTTAGATTTTAACTAGGCATTTTACATTTGGGAAGGGTTGATTTCATAGTTACCTATTTCTTATGCTCTAGTTGTTTGAAAAGCTTGAAATGCCCTTTGCTGACAGCACAATTCCTCGAACAATCTGAAGAAGGTGAAAATGATCCTTTAAAGTTTTTTGCAGCTGAAATAATAGTAAGTACAGCTAATTCAATTTGTGATAGAATCTGTTACACTATATTACCCTGCTATATTCTTTGGTGCTGCTGCAAGTGGACATGTAAGTTGATACCTTCATTAATAAAGCAATATGTATTTTCTGTAGAACACAGGTGAAAAGATGGCAAATAAAATGACAATAACTTCATTATCCAAAGACAAATACTGTTAACACCTTCTAGACTTTTTCTGCTGGTGTACTCACAGACAGGAAAATGTGTACATACATATGTATATGAGTACATAAAAAGTTCATGGAAATGGAATTAAAAATTATTTTGAGGCCGGCGCCGCGGCTCACTAGGCTAATCCTCCGCCTAGCGGCGCCGGCACACCGGGTTCTAGTCCCGGTCGGGGCGCCGGATTCTGTCCCGGTTGCCCCTCTTCCAGGCCAGCCTTCTGCTGTGGCCAGGGAGTGCAGTGGAGGATGGCCCAGGTGCTTGGGCCCTGCACCCCATGGGAGACCAGGAAAAGCACCTGGCTCCTGGCTCCTGCCATCGGATCAGCGCGGTGCGCCGGCCGCAGCGCGCCGGCCGCGGCGGCCATTGGAGGGTGAACCAACGGCAAAAAGGAAGACCTTTCTCTCTGTCTCTCTCTCACTGTCCACTCTGCCTGTCAAAAAAAAAAAAAAAAAAAAAAAAAAAAAAAAAATTATTTTGATGCAAAAAATTTTGAAATTCATGTAGTTTTTTCAAAATCATTTACTTTGTGTTGTGAAGTGCACTTGTATATAAACTTTTTAAAGAGTGTGTCATGTTGTACTCTTTCAAAATCACCTTTCTTTAACAGTGCATTGTGAGCGTTTGTTGGCTTAATAGTATTGTATGGTCTGGATTTGGCATAATATATTTAAATTGGGCCATATAGTTCAACATTTGGATTGTTTATAATTTTTCATTATTATCAGTCATTTGCAGCTTTCTCTCTTGTTTTAGCTCTTATGTCTGTGGTAAGTAGTGTCCTTGTAACTAAATTTTTCTTGTAACTAAATTCTTCTTTATTTCCTTTAAATTCCTTAAAGGAATTTCTTAAAGGAATGTAAAGTGGGCTTTCTGTGTCCCTAAAATTCCTTTTTAAGGCTCAAATATTTCCAAGAGCTTATAGACATATATAAATCTTATTTTAGAAGCAATTTGCCTTTTTTATTAAAAAAGAGATTTATTTATTTTATTTGAAAGGCAGAGATGCAGAGAGAGGGAGAGACAGAGACTGAGAGGTCTTCCATCCACTGGTTCACTCCCCAAATAGTCACAAATGACAGAGTTGGGCCAGTCTGAAGGCAGGAACCAGGAGCTTCTTCTAGGCCTCTCATGTGGGTGAAGGGGCCCAAGCATATGGGCTATCCTCCGCTGCTTTCCCAGACCATAGCAGAGAGCTGGATCAGAAGTTGCATAGCCAGGACTCGAACAGCACCCATGTTTCATACCGGTGCAGGCATAGACTTAACCTACTATGCCACAACACAGGCCTGAAGTTTGCCTTTCTGTATTAAACATTTTAGCGGTGGTATTTGGCCTGTATTTTATGTTGTATTGCCTAGGTTCAATTCTTGGCTCTTACTTCTGACTCTTGACTCTAGATTCCTGCTAATACAGACCCTTGGGGAGCAGTGTTGATGGCTAAGGTAATTGGGTTCCTACCAGTGATGTGGGAGACTTGGATTGAGTTCCCAACTCCCACTTTTGCCCCCAACTATTGGCAGGCATTTGCAGAGTAAACTAGTGGGTGGGAACAGCCCCACCCCTACTGCCACACCCCTCTCTCTGCCTCTCTGTTTTTTTCTGTTTTGTTTTTTAAAAATTGTACTTATTTATTTGAAAGGCAGAGTTACAAAGACAGAGGAGAGAGAGAGCGCTTCCATCCATTGATTTATTCCCCCAGTGGCCACAGTGGTCAGGCCTGGGGCCAGGACAAAGCCAGGAGTCAGGCGCTTCATGTGGGTCTCCCGTATGGGTAGTAGGGATGTCTTCTGCTGCTTTCCCAGGCACATTAGCAGGGAGCTGGATAGGAATTGGAGCAGCCAGGACACGTAAACCAGTGCTGCAGATGGTGCTTCACCTGCTGTGCCACAGTGCCACCCCATCTCTGTATTTCTTTGTCTGTCTCCCTCTGTATCTGGCTCACAAGTAAATAAAATTTTTTGTAAAGAGAATTTTAAATTGTGCTGGTATTCTGTTAGCAAAGTAATCTGAAGTACAGAAATATATGTACTTGGCATTGGTGGTTATGAATTTCAAAAAAGAGCAGTCATTGTGGCTATGTGTGTTTTTTTTTTTTTTTTTTAGCCATGTTAGGCTGCACAAGTGTAAGTGTAGCATTGGAGGAAAGCTGCATTGAATTAGATTGGGGTTTTGAAAACTAGATGCATTCTCAAAAGCAAGAGAAGGGCAAGAAATTGAGCATATATGCAAAGGGGTGACTTTAATGATGGTTGGTAGAATGTAAGTTGGGAAGTACATAATAAATGTGTGGGACAATGAAAAGATGATGGGATCACTAGGTTGTACATCTTGGTATGGTTGTTGGAATTAGGATACTAAGACGAATAAGCTGAAAAATAGGTTTACAGAATAGGGTGCTAGAAAGTAGAATGGAAAAGTTGTGATTATTAATATGAATGTCTGGGGTATGACCATAGGAGTGGGTGTTCTAAGAGAGAAGATAAAAGTTACAATCATTGGACTAGCAAAAATGAAGATTAGAAGATGGCTGATTATCCATTTAAGCCCCCACAGAGTTATGATAAGAGTAATATTAGAAAAGCTCTTAGACTTGGGGATAATGACTACAACAAGGAGATGTAGAGGTAGTGAAGTCACAAAGAATGAGTTTCAAAGTGGAAGGATTTTAGGGAGTAGGGAGGAGAGTAATCTAGAAACAGCAGGCTCAGTGTTACAATGGGTATAGATGAAAAAAAAATAGCAACCCTTTGTGGGGTATCCAGGGAAAATTTTCAGAAGAGAACCAGAACTTTCTGGAGAACAAAATAGGTAAGAAATTATTTAAAGCTGAATGGATTTTTCTGATGAATGTGAAGTCCAAAGGCCGTGATTGAAGGGTTTGTGTGGTGTAAGGAGGTTTGGGAAAAGAGCCAGAATTTTATGGGAAGTAAATTCTGAGAATGAGAGGTGACCTGGTGACCGTTATGAATAGGGATCCCTAGTTTAATAGGGTTAATGCTGATGTTAAAGGTGCTGGTGGAGAAGCTGAGCAATGAAAAGACAGGAGAGGTGAAGGAGTTTCCCAAGAGCGCCACAGCGTCCCGGTGCGAGAGCACAGTATGATTGCACTACTCAGGGCAGCCCGGCGTCTCAGAGACACTGCTGTGTATGGTATGTGTACTCCGTTTTGAGAGATGGCCATGAAATTCAGAAACTATTTAAAAGCTGTTAAACCTGGGAGTGATTTAATCAAACTGTTTTAGATTCATCACTTAAAAAAAAGATCTATTTATTTATTTGAAAGAGTGAGAGAGAGAATCTTGCATCCACTGGTTCACTCAAATGACTGCAACAGCCCAAGATGGGCTGATCTGAAGCCAGGAGCCAAGAGCTTCTGGGTCTCCCACATAGGTACTGGGGCCCAAGCACTTGGGCCATCTTCTGCTGCTTTCCCAGGCACATTAGTAGGGGTCTGGATTGGCAGTGGAGCAGCTGGAACAAACCATTAGATACAAACCATTAGAGGGGAAAAGAGAAATGTTTATGGGATAATTAAAGTCTTATGGCTTAAGTTGGAGCATGCAGCTGGGCAGAGGACCAAAGTTATAGGAGGACTCCTGGAGAGGAGGTCAGAGTGGGTATGCATGTCAAGTATTGTGTAACAGGAGTGGGATATAACTGAGGGGAATCAGACTCACTGGACTCAGATTTCTAGATGAACAAGAAATAATCTCCAGAGAGCAAGGGGGTAGAGATTAGGATTGAGTGAGGGACTTCAGGAAGCTGGTTAAAGGTTTGGAATACTGAGGGAAAAGAAAAGAGATAGTGGAAGGCTCAAGTGTTAGTTGGAGACCACACTGTATTGAAAACAGCTTGTATTTTCGTGCCATCTTCTGCAGCAGTTCTCAGCTGCCTGGGAGTAGAAATAGATGAGGTGAGTTGCAGTTATTTTTAGACTGGCATTTTATTGGTAAATCCAGCTATAGAATATCAATAGTTCGAATGATCGATAATGTGGGATCCAGGTTGGAGGGGACAGATAAGTTGAAATGAAGGAATCACAGGACTAGAGGAATCAGAGGTAAAAAAGCAGACTGGTAGGAGAGATGGGATAAAAAACAGATTGTGGTCAGAAATTGGGATATTGGAGTTTAAGATATCTAATGGAATACCTCCAAATGTTGACAGAGATCCAGAATGAGATTAGGTGCTGAAATGGTTTGGAAGTAAAAGTCAATAGAATTTAGAAATCAAGAACTATGAGGCTTGCTTTTTGGGGGAGTTGTCTACAAACACAATCAGTTTTCCCAGGATCATAGCAGGTGTTGAGTAGAGAGACAGTGAGTGGGTGCCAAAGTGTTCAGAGAATGTGGGGAAATGACTAGAGGTCAATACGCAGCAGAGAAGAAGGACAGTGTGGCGTCTGCCTCAAAGGAAAATGTGCTTTTGCCAAACTGTTAAGAAAGGGCCAAGGTAATACTAAGCTTCCGCTGGTACCTCCAAACCCTTCTTCCCCCTTCCTGGCCCTGCAGTGAAAAGAGTAGGAGAGAATGAGTAGCTCTCACCAGAAGGCAGATAAATTCATGACAGCAGAAGCGGTGATGAGTGTAGGAGAGTGGTCCTGAGACCTCAGAAGGAGCCTTAGTAGAAGGAGCCAGCAGTAAGGAAGCGTAAGCAGTCAAGAAGTAGACGTAAGATCAGGCGGAAGAAGAGAGGATTTGCATTCTGTGCTGCAGAAATACTGCTAAGTGTAGTGTGGTTGGGATTGACTGGCCTCGGCCATTCTGTTTTAACACAAGTCATGTTGGTAAAGAACTGCTTGAATGCGCCAGAGGGTACAGCAAAGGAACACTCCCGAAAGGACAGAGACCGCCGTGAGGATTGAGAAACGGAGCAGCGGCAGGTGCAGCTGAGTGGTGTGTGGGTAGATGTGGACGTTCTGCTTCGGGTGTGGGTTGAACCCCTGATATTCAGGCAGCACTCACTGTAAAATCTAGTTACATGTGGTGATTTTTTTTGAAGGCTACCTTGCTCTGAAAAAACACACATAGCACTGGCTGAATGAAGAAATGGGGCTTTATGATTAAGAGGACATTTGGGTTCTGAGTGCAGTAAGCTTTTTGTCTTGCAGCTATAATGAGTGCATGGTTTTGAAAATTGGTACAGCAGCATATATTTAGCATCTGGTAGCTGAATAGCAGTCTCTTGTGATTGAGGATGTTTTTCTTGGTTCCTTTTTGTGCTCTGAAATGACTAATGAAACCATCTGGGATCAGTAGATTTTAACTCGCTGAAGGCCAGGAAGGTCTTATTTGACTTTGTATTTCTCTGCAAAGTCTAACGGATATATCGAAAAAAAAAAAAAAAAGAGTAATTATGTAGAAGGTCATTATTCATTCTGGCTTAGCTATTTTTATCATTCATTCCTTTTTAACTTCTATATGGTAGTTTTTGTTGTGACTTTAACTTTCTGTTAAAAAATTAAAAAGAAATCAATTTGAAAGGCAGAGGTGGAGAGGAGAAACAGATCTTCTATCTACTGGTTTACTCCCCAAATGGCTGCAATGGCCAAGGGTGAGCCAAGCCAAAGCCAGGAGCCTGGAGTTTCTTCTGTGTCTCCCATGTGAGTGCAGGGGCCCAAGCACTTGGGCCATCTTCTGCTGCTTTCCAAGGCACATTAGCAGGGAACTGGATCGGAAGTGGAGCAGCCAGAACATGAACCAGCGCTCACATGGGAGGCAGAGACTTAACTTGCTACCCCACAATGCAGGCTCCGAGACTTTAACTTCCTTAACATTTCTTATGGCACATAGGTATTATATTATTTTTCAGTAAGGAACCTGAGGCTCAGAGAGGGTAGGCAAGTTACCCAGTGTCACACAGCTAGTGAGTGGTGGAGTCAAAACTCAAAATCTGTTTCAACAGAACAAACAACAACAAAAGTGCCTCCCTGTTGTCATACAACACTATCTGATCATGTGGAATTAGAGATAGAAGAGCATTTTGTCTCCTCAGGCCCTGCTGCCGAGCAGGTTCCTGCAGCCGCTCTCGGGGGAGGCAGAAGTGGCCAGGAGCGCTGTCCTGAGAGGAGTGGTCATCTGGCTGAGCGGGTGGCTTACTCTCATTCCATGATACTTCTGTGTCTCACGCGTTGAGATTGCTCTCTCCTACCTCAGAAGCACTTTGTAAAGAAATGGTGGTAGAAAGTACATACCTTAAAATGTAACGTTTTAACTTTGCAAGCACACAGTTGGGTGGTAGTAAGTATGTCCATGTTGTTTCGCAGTCATCACGGCCCTCCATGTGCAGGGTGTTTTTGTCTGCCCACTTGAAACTGTTCCCATAAATACTAACTTCCCAATCTCCCTTCTCTTCATCTCCTGGTACCCGCTTTTCTATTTTCTATGCCTGAAGCAGTTCAGAAAAATTGTTTTTTAATACAAAATGATGGGGCCGGTGCTATGATGTAGTAGGCTAAGCCTCTGCATGCGGCACTGGCATCCCATATGGCACCAGTTCGTGTCATAGTTGCTGCTCTTCCGGTCCAGCTCTCTGCTCTGGCCTGGGAAAGCAGTGGAAGATGGCCAAAGTGCTTGGACCCCTGCACCCGCTTGGGAGACCCAGAAGAAGCTCCTGGCTCCAGGCTTTGGATTGGCCCAGCTCCGTCTGTTGGGGCCATTTGAGGAGTGAACCAGCGGATGGAAGACCTCTCTCTCTGCTTCTCCCTCTCTCTGACTTTTGCTCTGAAATAAATAAAATCTTAAAAGAAATACAAAATGATTCCTTTTGTTTACTTCAGAGCCCTCTATCCAGCAGTCATTTAGCTACCAGCTGGTGCTGAATTGATTTAGAAAACCATCTGACATTTAAATTCTTACGTAAAATATGATTTTGCGGTTGTCTTCTATACTAGTTTTCTTCTGCTGTGTAAGAAGTTCCTATGAATGTAGCAGTAAAACAACATACTTTTTTTTTTAAGATTTTATTTATTTATTTGAAAGGCAGAGTTACAAAGAGGCTGAACTGTGTTAATCCAAAGCCAGGAGCCAGGAGTTTTTCCAGGTCTCCCATACAGGTGCAGGGGCCCAAGCACTTGGCCCATCTACTGTTTTCCCAGGCCACAGCAGAGAGCTGGATCAGAAATGGAGCAGCCGGGACTTGAAGCAGCACCTAGATGGGATGCCGGCACTGCGGGCGGCAGGTGTACTCGCACAGCGCCAGCCCCACAAGGCACTTTTTAAAATCACAGTTCCCGTGGCTCAGGAGTCTGGTCTTCACTTAGTTGGATCCTCTGTTCAGGGTGTTCTTAAGGCTATCGCCAGTCATTAATTGTTCCTGCAGTGTCAGCAGAAGCTTAACTGAAAAGATAAGCTCACATGTGCTCACATCTTCTTGTTCCCCAAGGTGTTGGCACGGTTCATCACCTCAGGCTCGAGAACTGAGGCCCCCATTTGCTCGCTTCCCTCCTTCCTTCCTTCCTTTCCTTCAAGATTTATTTATTTATTTGAAAGACAGAGTTACAGAAAGGCAGAGGCAGAGAGAGAGGTTTTCTGTCTGCTGGTTCGCTCGCCAGATGGCCACAATGGCCAGAGCTGCACCAATCTGAAGCCAGGAGCCAAGAGCTTCCTCTGGGTCTCTGATGTGGGTGCAGGGACCCAAGGACTTGGGCCATCTTCTACTGCTTTCCCAGGCCATAGCAGAGAGCTGGATTGGAAATGGAGCAGCTGGGACTTGAACCGGCACCCATGTGGGATGCGGGCACTGTAGGTGGTAACTTTACCCGCTATGCCACAGTATGGCCCCCAACTCCAGCCAGGGACCAGAGCTTCTGGAGGCTCTGTGGACACCCTGGCCATGCAGCTGGCTCATGACGTGGTGACTCGGTTGTTGAAAGGCAGCAAGGGAGAGTTTCTGCCTCAGAGGGAAGGCCTGTACCTCTTTAAAAACCTGCTCAATTAGGTCAGGCCTTCCCAGGACAGTCTTGGTTCTGAATAACTCAAACCAGCTGATTACAGGCCCTACCTACATCACACAAGCCAGCGTTGTGCACAGTGAGTGCGACAAGCTACACTTGCAATGCTAGCATCCCATATGGAGTGCCAGTTCATGTCCTTGCTAATTCCACTTTTGATCCATCTTCTATGTGCTTGGGGAAGTACCAGATCAAGGCCCAAGTACTTAGGCCCCTGCCACTCATGTGTGAGAAGAGTTCCTGGCCCCTGGCTTTAGCCTGGCCCAGAACTGGCTATTGTGGGCAGTTGGGGGATAAACCAGCAAATGGAAAGTTTCCTTTCTATCTCTACCTCTGTCTGTTGCTCTTGTCTTCCAAATAAATAAATATTAAAAAAAAAAAAGGAGGAGGGGGGCACTGTGGCACAGTGGTAACACGCCCTGGCCTGAAGCACCAGCATCCCATATGGGCGCCGGTTCTAGTCCCGGCTGCTCCTTTTCCGATCCAGCTCTCTGCTATGGCCTGGGAAAGCAGTAGAAGATGGCCCAAGTCCTTGGGCCCCTGCACCCACATGGGAGACCTGGAAGAAGCTCCTGGCTTCTGGCTTTGGATCAGCGCAGCTCCGGCCATTGCAGCCAACTGGGGAGTGAACCAGCGGATGGAAGACCTCTCCCTCTCTCTGCCTCTCCTCTCCCTGTGTAACTCTGGCTTTCAAATAAATAAATATATCTTTAAAAAATAAAAAACCCTTCCTGATCATTTGGGTGACTTCTTGCTGAATTCTGACAAGTCTTGAAGGTTGGGACCCTCAGGGGAGGGGATATACGGGGATGTGGTTGTGGTTGTGGCTGGGGCACTTAGAGTCTGTCTGCTGTTGTCCTTTTGTATCTGTTTCACAGGGGTTTTTATCAGCAATTGGACACCCTTTCCCCAAAATGATTTTTAATCATGGAAGGAAAAAGAAGACTTGGAATTACCTTGAATTTGAGGAAGAAGAAGATAAACAGTTAGCAGACTCTATGGCTTCACTGGCCTATCTAGTATTTGTACAGGGCATCAGTATTGATCAGCTTCCAATGGTCTTAAGGTAAGAGTGTTTGGTTTATTTATATATTCTTTTTTTTTTTTTTTTAAAGACACATTTATTCAGCGTCGATCAGACTATTACATTTAGCAATCAACAGCATGGGTGCAAAAGAAAAAAAAAGAAAAAACTACATTAAAACCCTTTGTTGGAATGCTTTACACTTTCCACAGAACAGAAACTAAAATAACCTGTTATACAATTAGTCACAAATACAGTCCTCGAGTTTTTTTGCCCATACACATGAGTATTGTCTAAAACATGTCTTCTTTGTAGCAGCTAGGCCCTGCCACCACTGTGCTTGGCTGAGTTCACAAATCTGTTGTAACCTGTAGCTTCCCTGTCACTTCTCTGGCTCTCCTCTCCTGCTAAGCTTTGTTTCCTGGCAGTTATTAAAACCTTCTGCCACTGCCATAGCTGCTGCTGCTGCTAGAACCACCATAGCCACCTTGATTTCGTGGTTTGGCAAAATATTGGCCGCCACCACCATAGGGGCCAGAGCTTCTGCCTCCAAAATTTCCTCCCTTCATGGGTCCAAAATTTGAAGATTGATTGTTGTAATTGCCAAAATCATTGTAGCCTCCGCTGCCTCCAAAATTGCTTCCGTCATTACCAAATCCATTGTAACCATCCCCACTGCCACCATAACCACCTCCACCGCGGCTGCCGCCGAAGCCACCACGACCACTGAAGTTTCCTCCACGACCAAAGTTGTCATTGCCACCAAAACCACCTCCACGACCACCACCAAAGTTTCCAGAACCACTTCGACCTCTCGGGGTGGACGAAGCGCTGGCCATCTCCTGCTTCGACAGGGCCTTCCTCACTTCACAGTTGTGGCCGTTCACAGTGTGGTATTTCTGAATGACAATCTTATCCACGGAGTCATGGTCGTCGAAGGTCACAAAAGCAAAGCCCCTCTTCTTGCCACTGCCTCGATCAGTCATGATCTCAATCACCTCGATTTTCCCGTACTGCTCAAAGTAATCTCGGAGGTGATGCTCTTCAGTGTCTTCTTTAATGCCACCCACGAAGATCTTTTTCACAGTGAGGTGGGCACCTGGTCTTTGGGAATCTTCTCTCGACACAGCCCTCTTTGGTTCCACAACTCTTCCATCCACTTTGTGTGGCCTTGCGTTCATGGCCGCATCCACCTCCTCCACGGTGGCGTAGGTGACAAACCCAAAGCCCCTGGAGCGCTTGGTGTTCGGGTCTCTCATTACCACGCAGTCCGTGAGCGTGCCCCATTGCTCAAAATGGCTCCTCAAGCTCTCATCGGTCGTCTCAAAGCTCAGCCCTCCGATGAAGACTGCCGCAGCTGCTCGGGCTCCTTGGGCGACTCTGACTTCGACATGACGGCGGTGGGAAGAGAGAACTCGACGATGCTTCCTCGGCGGCGTCCGCAAGCAGAAAGCTATTTATATATTCTAAAAGAAATATCATTAGACTCTCAATTTTCTGCATTCAATATATGCATATTAATATATACTTAAAAATACAGTTAAAAGGCTGTTTTTCTAAGTGATACTGGTTATAATCTACTAAAGGCAGTAGGAATCCGTGAAACAGGATGGTGTTGAAGTCTATGTAAGGGGATGATGAAGACAAGAGGGGCAGGGGACTGGCACAAGACAAGAGGCAGAAAGCGTTAAACCAGGCATGACTTTGAAGACTGGGGGGCCACCCCGGGCTAAAAGAGAGGGAACTAGCTAAGCACTCTTGGGTGTCATCTCTTCACTGGATTACGACTGTAATCCTAAGAAGGTATTTATATATCCATTCTCATTCCCTTTTAATCCAGCCTGTTCTGAACGCACTACAGAGTAAAATGCATTGGAAACCCTTCAGCAGTTTTGTACTGCTCTAAGAACAAAGTCTGAATGCCTCCTTGTGACTCCAGAGTCAAGCTTCTGCACCATCCGTTCGCTGCCCGAATGCTCTGTTTCATCTCCTGTAGCCGGCGCTCTTGTTTGCCGTGTTCTGATAGCACAGAGCTTTGGTTTTCTTACACAGATGTGTCAAACTTTCCTGCACCTTTGCTTAGAGCCACCTCAGTGTCACTTTCTGAGTAAAGCCTTCTCTCGGTACCCAATTTCGGTTGAATTCTCCCATTGTAATTACCTTGATCTTGTCCTTCCCCCATGAAGTTTATCAAAATTATTTTTCAAATAAATGTATAATTTTTTAATGTAACAACTTCTGACTTTAAAGTCTGTGATGGATTTTGATAGTCTTAGGCATTGGGTGTATTCATATACATTTATGTTTATATATGAATATACTTAGGGGTATAGATAAATATTACAAAATGGCTGCTCTTTGCATGTTCACCATGCATGAAACGTTATGCTAGTACACTATCTCATCTTTGCAATAACCTTGTGTGAAAGAAACCATTATCTCAATTTAAACATAGAAGTAGCAGACAAGGTAGCACCCAAGATTATACAACTGATTAAAGGTATAGGTAGAAATTCCAGTACAATTGTATCTGATTCCAGAGTCTATGTATACTCATCAACCTACCACCGAAATAACCAGTGTATGCCTCTTAGTTTGCTAGGGCTGCCGTAACAAAGTGCCTCACACTGGCTTGTGAAATCACAGAAACCTATCATAGTTCTGGAGCTAGAAGTCTGAGATCAGGGTGTCTTATTAAAGGGGTCGTTGCTTCTGAGGGCTATGAAGGAGACTCATGTCTCTTCCTTAGTTCCTGGTGGTTTGCTTACAATCTTGAAAGCTCTCTGGCTGCAGATGCATTATCCTGTCCTCTTTGTGTTCACATGGCAGTCTCCCTGTCTAGATGTCTCTCTGTCCACATTCCTCCTGTGAATCAGGACGCCATCACCCTGGATTAGGGCTCAGTGAACTCACTTTAACATGGTTACTTCTGTTAAAAAAAAAAAAAAAAAAAAACACTATCGCCAAAATCGAGTAAGAGGTACTAGAGTTAGGACTCCCAACATAGCTTTTTGCAGGGGGACACAGTTTAGCTAACCATAGTATATGTAAGGCTCTTCAGAAAATTCATGGAAAATGTGTATTAGGACAAAAACCTACGCATGGATTTTCTGGTGCCAAAATGAATTTACCTTGTAGTTCCATTTTCCATGAACATACTCTCATAGCAGTATAAAAATTTTAGTGTTTATATATTATATTTACTCTTTTTTTTCTCTTTTAGTCCATCGTACCTTTTGCAGTTTAATATGGGGCATATTGAAGTCTTTTTGCAAAGGTAAGATAATTTAGATGGCATCTTAGAATGGTATAGGCAACAGTTTTTTAGATAGGATCACAAAGGCTCAAGCAATAAAAACAAAAATAGACAATTTTTTTTTTATTTGAAAGGCAGAGATACAGGGAGAGAAGGAGAGAGAGAATGAGAGAAATCTTCTATCCACTGGTTCACTCCCCAAATGGCCACAACGGCCAGAGCTGGGCCAGGCTGAAGCCAGGAGCCAGGAGCTTCTTCCAGGTCTCCATGTGGGTACAGGGGCCCAGAGACTTGAGTTTGTTACTCCTGGCTTTAGCTTGGCCCAGCCCTGGTGGCCTTTTGGGCAGTGAACCAGTGAATGGAAGATCTCTCTCTCTCTACCTTTCAAATAAATGAATCTTAAAAAAAAAAAAAAAAAAAAGGCAGGACTTTTTCTTTAAAAAAAAATTGCAAGGTAGCAAATAAACTTAATTTCTCCAGACAGAAATGTAAGAATTTTGCAAAATTCAATACTTTTCTTACACTATACCATGTTGAAATTATCTCTGGGACCAGTCAGTGCCTTGCAGTACTGTACTCCAGGGATACTAAAGACATCTCTCAGAGTTCTCTTCCCATTGAAGGAAGATTTGTAACATGGCAGATGTCCAAAGCCTCAGCCTACAAGGCAGGAATTTCAATCTCCATGGGTTTCCTGACACAAGTAGTTGTTTTGTTTTGTTTTGTTTTAAAGATTTATTTATGTATTTGAAAGAGTTACACAGAGAGAGGAGAGGCAGAGGGGGGCGGGGAGGTCTTCCATCCACTGGTTCACTCCCTAATTGGCCACAATAGCCGGAGCTGCGCCGATCCGAAGCCAGGAGCCAGGAGCTTCCTCCGGGTCTCCCATGCAGGTACAGGGACCCAAGGACTTGGGCCATCTTCTACTGCTTTCCCAGGCCATAACAGAGAGCTGGAATGGAAGAGGAGCAGCCAGGTCTCGAACCGGCACTCACATGGGATGCTAATGCTTCAAGTCAAGGTGTTAACCCGCTGTGCCACAGCGCCACCCCAGAGTAGTTATTAATGCTGTGAATTTGCTTTGTTGTGTAGGCCTTAATGATTTTATATTCATTTCACATAGTCTCTTACTCATACAGAGAATATATATTGTGTTGAATGTAAGTGCTACACTCCTGAGCTTTTCAAATTGTTTAGTCATTGAACTAAAAACACTTTTAATTTCTTGTGTGATTAGAATAAGAGCCTGGAGCCTGAGATAGTTTTTGCCACAGATATTATTTAGTTAAGAATGATTAGAACTTTTTCAAAAAAAGTATCATCATAAGTGAAAAGCATTTAATTCTTTTTTGTATAAAAAGAACTGAGGGGCCGATGCTGTGGCACAGTGGGTTAAAAAAACTGAAAAGATTTTACATAACGGTCAAGTGGAATATAAAGTATTTTTTGTTTAAAGATTGATTTATTGATTTGAAAGGCAGAGAGAGAGAGAGAGAGAGAGAGAGAGAGAGGTCTTCATCCGCTGGTTCACTCCCCAGGTGTCCGCAGTGGCTGGAGCTGCACTGATCCAAAGTCAGGAGCCAGGAACTTCTGGGTCTCCGATGCGGGTGCAGGAGCCCAAGGACCTGGAGCACCTTCCACTGCTTTCCCAGGCCGTAGCAGAGAGCTGAATCAGAAATGGAGCAGCCAGGACTCGACCCAGCACCCACATGGGATGCCAGCACTACAGGCAGCTGCTTTACCCACTACACCACAATGCTGACCACAAAGTATTGTTAACACTAGCTTTTGCAAATCTGTTGATTTGTCATCAGGAAATAAACTCTGAGCAGGCTAATTTTGATCTCCTTTGGATGTCAGTAGCTAAATGAAAAGATCAAAGTGGATTAAGAATTTTGGCAAAATCTTGAAGAGAAGTTCTTAATGTGTATTTTAAAAATCTTTACATTTCAGGCCGGCGCCGCGGCTCACTAGGCTAATCCTCTGCCTAGCGGCGCCGGCACACCGGGTTCTAGTCCTGGTCGGGGCGCCGGATTCTGTCCCGGTTGCCCCTCTTCCAGGCCAGCTCTCTGCTGTGGCCAGGGAGTGCAGTGGAGGATGGCCCAGGTGCTTGGGCCCTGCACCCCATGGGAGACCAGGAAAAGCACCTGGCTCCTGGCTCCTGCCATCGGATCAGCGCGGTGCGCCGGCCACAGCGGCCATTGGAGGGTGAACCAACGGCAAAGGAAGACCTTTCTCTCTGTCTCTCTCTCTCTCTCACTGTCCACTCTGCCTGTCAAAAAAAAAAAAATAAATAAATAAAAAAATCTTTACATTTCAATTATTTATTTTTCCTAAAGTGAAGAATTGTTCTAAACCAATTTATAAAATCATGTTGATATATTTTAACCTTCTCTTCCAGAACAGAAGAGTCTGTTTTCTCCAAAGGATTGGTAAGATGTCTTTATTCTCATTGTAATTTAAATACATAGTCGTGTCAACAATTATAGCTGCTGATTTCACCATGTGTGTATCTTCATAATTTTAATCTGTAGGAATTGCTGGAGAATGGCTTGTTAAGAATAGAGGACAACAGTCTCCTTTATCAGTACTTGGAAATCAAGAGTTTTCTTACTGTACCTCAGGTAAAAGCACCACAACAAAAGATACTCTAATTTTAACGCATCCTATTTTGAACTTCAGTAAAGTAAAGGTGTTTTCTGATCCTGCTTCCATTTTCTTCTGTTTATGTCCTTTGAAAGCGCTCATGCAGTGCAATTCAGTGGAACGCTGTGTGATGATGGACGTGTTCTGTTATCTGTGCTATATAGTGTGAAAGCCATTAGCTGCTTTGAACACTTGGAATGTGTGGCTAGTGTGATGAGGAGTTGAATTTTAAATTTAAATTAAATTTTGCCATGAGTGACTACCACAATTAGTAGCATAGCCTCCAGTGGAAAAGGATAACCTTATTCTTACACACTTTCTGTGAGAAGCTTAGTTAAAGAAACTCCTTTATTTTTCTCATAACTCAGATTCTCAGAACTCCATCTTTAGGAGTCTACACTGACCTTTTACTGAAAAGGCTAATCCACATTTTGTTCCCTCCTGTGGTTAATTTTGCCTAGTACTCTTTGTTATGATATCCAAGTAGGTCTTTAGCTATGAGTATAGACATTTCATAATTAAATGGAATAACATGGCTGACTTTTGTTAATACAGCGATATTTCAGAAAATTCATGGAAAAATGGAATTAAAAGATACTTTTATTTGGTGCAAAATGTTTGAAATCTATCATGGTTTTATTGTATGCATTTTATATGAATCTTATGTATTTTATATGATATGTATTTTATATGATTCTTTGAAGATCCCCTTCATGTGTTAAGGTTGTTGATTTTTAATGAGTGGATTGCATTTCTGTGTTTGATTTCATGTTCTTACCACTCTAAACAATAAACAATTAAAAATATCATTCACTTTTAAAATCACACTTTGTAATATAACACTGTTACTTACAAAATTGATTATAGTTAGCCGTGTGGTAGACTTGGAATGGTGGAATGAAAGGCTCAGGGAAAAACAAATTTACTTCCACTTTTAACTTTCCTTCCTACAATTCTTTAAATTTTTAGTACCCAGTATTTATAATATGCTTGTTTGTTGTATCTGAATTAAAAATTTTTTTTGTTTCCAGGGTTTAGTCAAAGTAATGACACTTTGCCCTATTGAGACATTGGTATGTAAGTAATAATTGGTTACAGTGAGAAATTTTGATAAGTAACAATATTTTAAAATATTTTTTTCATTTTATGTTAACAATATTATTTGTTCCATTTTAGAGGAAAAAGGGTTTAGCTATGCTTCAGCTATATATTAACAAGTTGGATTCACAAGGCAAATATACATTATTTAGGTATGTATCAAGCAAGGGTAGTTGCTAAGTGTGTGGTTGATTGAAAGGCAAGTTAGCCTGTAATTATTCTAGCGTGTGGTATTTCAGTATGTCTTATGTGTAATTCAGCTGTAATTGGAAACCTCATTGTAATAAGTTCTCTTACCTGAGATAGGTAGAGAAGGGGTTTAAATACATATGTGTGTAGCTATTATAAGAATAATGTATATTTCAATTAATTGAAATATTTAAAACCTAAAGGTTTATGTATTCTTAAATTAAAAAAAAAAGATTAAACTGAGATTGATAATACTCCTGCTAGAACTTTACATATGTAATGATTTCCATTGTTCACTGTTGAAATTAATGGCTCTGGAGTTATAACTGACAGGCCATTCATTTTAAGTTGATATTAGAGCTGTCAAATAGTGCTGTTTGTGGCAGAAAAGATCGTAACAGTTTTCTAAGTTAAAGATTTAAATTCCCTGTATAGGGCCAAATAGTGAAGATAGGTGTTATGGGCCTCACAGTGTATTCCAGTTGCTCAGCTTTGTCTTTGTATTAGAAATTATTGTGTTCCAGTAAAACTGTTGTCAAAAACAGACAGGAGGCTAGATTTGACCTGCAGACCTAAGTTTGTCGGCCCCATTCTAGGTAATAAAAATGAGTTAAAAACAGATTTTGATAGTGGTGAAGTGCTACAGAATCTTCTTTGGGACGAGCTAATACTAGCACTCTTGATCCGACCTTCATTTCAATTACCAGTCAGAGCAGGTTTGTGAAATCTCAGTAACTAGTCCTTACACTGGCTTTCCTGCTTTCTTTCTGTATCTTGACCAAGGATTCTCCTCCTTTCTTGAGCTGGTCATACTGAATTTCCTTTCTTTGCTTAATTAATCTAGCCAGCACAAGTCTGCTTTTACAAGGAACAATTTGGGTAGTTTTTTAGGTTGTTAGACTGATGCTTATTCTTGCTGTGTTCAATTACTGCAAATGTATGCAGAGTAATTGTAATATAGCCTAGAGTAATTTCGTGTTTTGTGATTTTGCTTTTAAGGTGCTTATTGAATACCAGTAATCATTCGGGTGTAGAGGCCTTTATTATTCAGAATATCAAAAATCAAATTGACATGTCATTTAAGGTAAGAGCATAGCCACGATATTACCTACCAATTTATTTAGTAGGGTAAAATATTCATATGTAGAATACATTAAATGTGAGGTTTTGCTCCCCAGTCTCTTTTTAGTATTAGTATATTTTTTGCCTATTTTTACTTTTTAAAAAAAAATCATTTATTTGAAAATCAGAGAGATGGAGTGGAGAATGTAGGGCAAGAGATCTCTCACCTGCTGTTCCAATTCCCAGTGCCTGACCAGGAACCATAGATTCAATTAGGATCTTCTACATATGTGGCAGGGACCCAAGTACTTGAGCCATCACCAGCTGTCTCCCAGGATATGCATTAGCAGGAAGCTCCCATTGAGACTGGCGCCAGGACTTGACCTCAGGCATTTCAGTGTGAGATGCAGGCATCCCAGGCAGCATCTTAACCTCCACACCAAATGCCTGCCCCTAATACTACTTCAGACACATACACACACATACCACACACCACACACTTGAATCTTGGAAACTTCTGTTAACTATAAATTTAAATTACTTTAATTCTTTGAGCTGCTGGTAACTTTTTGTTTTGCTATATAATTTGGAAAAATTAATGGAAACAATTCTCATTTATTTGAGAATACTCAGTAATCCCATACAGAAAACAGAAAGAGCACTAATATGCTCAAAATGGCAGGTTTTGTTCTGTAGGTCTGAAAAGTGAATGAATATATGGAAATTAAAGTTTAAAATATTTTTTAAAGATTTATTTATTTATTTATTTGAAAGAGTTACACAGAGAAGAAGAGACAGAGAGAAATTAAAGTTTAAAATATTTTTTAAAGATTTATTTATTTATTTATTTGAAAGAGTTACACAGAGAAGGAGAGGCAGAGAGAATGAGAGAGGTCTTCCATCCGCTGGTTCACTCCCCAGTTGGCTGCAACTGCCAGAGCTGCGCTGATCCAAAGCCAGGAAGCCGGGAGCTTCTTCCTGGTCTCCCACGTGGGTGCAGGGGCCCAAGGACTTGGGCCATCTTCTACTGCTTTCCCAGGCCATAGCAGAGAGCTAGATTGGAAGTGGAGCAGCCGGGACTCGAACTGGTGCCCATATGGGATGCAATAGGCCATGGCTTTACCTGCTGCATCACAGCGCTGGCCCTAAAGTTTAAAATATTTTTTAAAAACATAATAATGTTTTATTTCTGTAGTGACAAACTGTTATTTAAAACTTTTACAAATTTTTTTTTTTTTTGCTTTTCAGAAAACGCAAAACGATAAATGGTTTACAGGACCACAGCTGATTTCTCTGCTGGATTTGGTGCTCTCCCTCCCAGAGGGTGCTGAAACGGATTTACTGCAAAACTCAGACAGGTGAGGTGACCACTACTGGAGTGCACATGGTAAACACCTAAACTAATAAAAATGTGTTTTCCTGTGATTTTATAATCTAGGGGGTTACTTCATAAAATTAGATAGCAAGCTTCCTATGTAAGTGATTTGATAAATGTACAGAAACCTGTTTTTCCCAGATTAATGACCAGCATTGTAATTTTATATCTTTGTTGCAATCATCATTCCACAGATGTTGGCAACTGCAGCATTTGTAACTAAAACTAAGAATCACATGCATATAACTGATAAAAAAGCTTATGTGTTTAGGTTTTGTTGTTTTTATTTTCCAGGTCATTTTTTAAAATATAGAACATATAATTTAGTAAACCACAGTAGTCATTGACAAATGATTTTAAACATTTGTAAAAGAAATCTTAAAATTCAAACAAGAGATGATGCTGTCAAATATTAAAGATAACAAGATTCTGTTGAAGAAAAAGATAGTAACTTTCACAGTTGAACTCTGTGAACTTAAATGTAAACAAGAGTGTTACTACAACTCCAAAACATACATTGAATATATTTTTTAATGGCAAACATAATTATCAAAATGTACACAAGATTTTAATATACATTGAAATTGCTGTTGATTATATGAAGCTATAAGTAACAAATATATGTTTAATTAACAGGATTATGGCATCATTAAATTTGTTGAGATATTTGATTATCAAAGATAATGAAAATGACAATCAAGTAAGTGAATTATTTGATGAAGAAACTGTGAGTATATTTAGAATTTGTAAGCAATGTCTCAGATGTTCTTGATTACTATTTACGTAGGCCAGTATGTAATATTTTACCAAGTTACAAAGGCTGGAAAAAGTGCCAACAATTATTCTAAAACCTGAAGTTAACTCCCAGGAGCATTTACTATCCCAAATAGAGCTTCCCTTCCCTTTTCCTTTCCTGCTGTACCTGTGCTCTTTCTTTTTTTAAAGGTAATTTTTTGTTTATTTGAAAGTCAGAGTTAGAGAGAGAGAGGGAGAGAGATCTTTCATTCACTCCTTAGATAACCACAATGGCCAGGGCTGGGCCAGGTTGAAGCCAGGAGCTAGGAACTACATCCAGGTCTCCCACGCGGGTGCAGGGGCCCAGGGACTTGGGCCATCTTCCACTGCTTTCTCAGTCCATAGCAGAGAACTATTAATCGGAAATGGTGCAGCCAGGACACAAACTGGTAAAGGCAACTTTACCTTCTACACCATAATGCCAGCCCCTGCTCTTTTTTTTTTTTTTTTAAGCAGTGTTTTTTTCTTTTCTCTTTTTAATTTATTCATCTGAAAGGCAGGTTGACAAAGAGAGACACAGAGATACTTTCCATCTTTTGGTTCTCTTTCCAAATGGCTACAACAACCAGGGCTGGGCCAAGCCAAAGGCAGGAGTCGGGAACTCCATCCTGGTCTCCCCCATAGGTGGTAGGGGCCCAGACAATTGAGCCGTCTTCTGTTGCCTTCCCAGGCCCATTAGCAGGGAGCTGGATCAGAAGCAGCTCTGCTTATGCTCTTTTGCTGAAAGTAGTGCTTAGCCTTATCGGGTTGTTTAGTTGCAGGTCCTAAGTTAATTATCCTTGTGGAATGCAGCATATATTTGGGTGTCCTGTTCAGTTTTTTCTGCCTATAGTTCATGATTTAAATCTGAGCTATATAAAAGAAAATCATCTGATATTTTGCTTCATCAAATATGACAAATTGAAGTATTCTCAGCACTAAAACCGAATTTGTTAACAGCACCTTTTGGATAATGTGTAGGAAGTTGAATTTTTTTAATAGCTCATCATTAAAAGTGTTCAATAAATAGAAAAGTATTTGAGGGAGATGTGTAATGCCATAAAATTATATTAACTTTTTATCTTCTCTCTTTCTACTTACCCTGTTCTAATAATTTCTTTCCCTAAATGTCACCTTCATTAACTATAACTACTTGAATCATGAGTTGCTGATGTTTTCTTAAGAAAATAATAAAGATGCCAAAAATATTTTCTGCATCAAGTAAATTCACTATTTAGGGTAAAAAGTTTCTGGAAAAGGTAGAAAATTCCTTTCCTCTGGACATATGTATATCCGTCTTTAGCCAAAACTGGTTAGTTCTATCAGTACCAGGTGCAGTCTTGTTTAGCATTTGATTGTGATTCACAGTGTTATAAGAAGCTGTTTTCCCCTTTTCATAGATAATGTAGGCACAGCACAGCAAAGACATTAATTTGCACAGGGGCACATATTTTAGTACGTTTGAGACAGCTATAACTGTAGACAGTGTGGCCCAAACTTTTGAAATCCAGCTAAATCTTGAATCCTTAAGGAACTTTTAATAAAAATAGAAAAAATACAACTTAAAATTCAGCAAGAGTAGAGACTGAGGCTTTAGGAAGGTGTCCAGAGGGTAAACTGTAAGTCTTGTGTTTGGTTTTGTTTGTTTTTTTACTATTTTAGCAATCAGAAAAGGTTCCATAAGAAATAATCTGGGCCTGGTGGTGTGGTACAGTGAGTTAGCCGCCACTGTCAATGCCAGCATCCCACAGAGGAGGGCCAATTTGAGTCCCAGCTGCATAGCTTCTGATAACACTTTCCTACTAATGTACCTGAAAAGGCAGCAGATGATGGCCCAACTACTTGGACCTCTGTCACACACATGAAGGGCTTGGATGGAGTTCTTGCTCCTGGCTTTGGCCTGGCCTAACCCTGGCTGTTGCAGCCATTTGGGGAGTGAACCCATGTATGGAAGATTGACTTGCTCTTTGTCTCTCTCTCTCTCCCTCTGGTGGCCTTTCAAATAAATAAATAAATCTTTAAAAAATAAATTAAAAGAAATACTGTAATTTGCTTGACAGGAAGAAAAGGAATCTTGTAAATTAGGAGTGATAGATTCTTAGGTCTGGAGCACTCTGGTGCAGAGGCAGCAGATGGCTCCCTCCCTAGAGAGGGAAGACATGGCAGCAGCTTGGTATTCTGCACTGTTTTGCTGTGACCCACAGATGATGCCTCACTTCTGTTTGGCATGAACATTTTATAGTAAAGTAAGAGCTACAACCACCTTCCAAAGATTATGTTCTTATTTAATGGTTTTTCAAAAAATTTTCTTAGAGATCAGATACTCCAAATAGTTGACATGTAAATTACTGTAAGAATTACTGTTCCAGGTAAATTAGCAAAAATACTCATCCAAGATGACAAGCTGACATCTTTGAGGCAGCTTTTGCCTGTTTATCATGGAAGCATTTCTCCCAAGTGTATTTACATAGCTGTATACATAAATGAGAGACAAATGTGTCCACTATGGTTAATTAGTAAGTAACAGCTTCTGAGACTTTAGAAATTTTGGTTAAAAGAGAAACAAAAGGATACTCCAGTAATGCTAATTTTTGGGTATTTGATTCAAAAGGACTCATACCTGTAACTTTTTGACAAGTTGAGTGTGCTGAGTTGGAAACTGAAAAGCATTTGGAAAGGTGTACAGGAAAATTTAAAAACGAACAGAATCATTCAAATACAAAGACAATAAAGTGATTCATAATTGAATACTAATGCATTTTTCCCTGGTATTTTCAGTTACTGTCAACTGATATACTCCTTGCCTAAGCTGTTCTCTCCTCTCTCTGCTGTCTTATGCCTCTTGATCTCTTTGACTAAGTTACAGACACCAACTTCCACACTCAGTTTCACATAACTTTTCTTGAATCTTGTAGTATAAATCATCCCCCGTCTCTACTGTTAAAACCAACTTATAAATATGTACGATTATTACATGTTAATAGAAAAATATAAAACCCTTACAGATTGTTAAAAAATACTTTTTAAAAAACTTTTTAAAAAATTTGAGAGGCAGAGTTAGAGAGAGGGAGAGACAGAGAATCTTCCATCCATTGGATTCTTCCATCCATTTCACTTCCCAAATGGCTGCAACGGCTGGGGCAGGACCAGGCCAAAGCCAGGGGCCTAGAACTTCATCCAAGTCTACCATGTGCATGCAGGGACCCAAGCACTTGGACCATCTTCTGCTGATTTTCCCAGGCAAATTAGCACGGAGCTGGATTGGAAGTGAAGCAGCTAGGACTTGAACAGGCCCTCACGTGGGATGCCAGCATTGCAGGCACCAGCCTAACTTGCTGTGCCACAAATGCTAGTCCCAAAAAACCAACTTACATTTTATACTTCATGTGCTTTATTTGGTGGGTACTTTTGTAATTGTTTTGATTTACCATTACTTATTATAATACACAGGCGATAATCATAATATCCTTTACCTTTTGTCTTGTCTACTTATATCCTTTTTCAGTTTGTTATGGTAATATGTAAATGAAAGCAGGGTCAAAGGAAACAGATGCCGAGTGAAAGGATATGTGTGTTTTCAGTTTTGGATTCTTACCTAGTTCTTCCCTATAACTTGACTTTTCCTAGTGGTAGAGGAGGAAAGGATGTATATGATAGTCATTAATGTGACCAGTTATTCACAGCTGTGTGTAGATTTTATCTGGAGGGCTATAATAGTGAAATATATACTGCTTGGATCAAAAAAGTTCATTTCAACATAGGTTTTCAAGAGTTCCTAAGGTGGTTTTTTTTTAACCTATTTTCCTGGGTAAGATTATCTGGAAACAGTAATAATGGATTTTCTTTTTTAAATGAAGACTTCATGACTCCCCTCTTTTAGTATTTAGCAGCAGATGTTCTTGATATAGAAATCTCTGAAGAGCTTCCTGTTAGAAGAGTTTCCATCAATAGGGAAGGGAACGATCTTACAGAACTAAGTCTATGGCAAGGCATCAATTGAAAGATCAAGGTGTGAAAGTATAAGGTAGAATCATTGTTGGCTTAGAGGGGAGGAGAAATGTTTCAGACTGTGGATCATCATCAAATAATTTGTTCGTGGATAAAACTCGCATGTTAAAGACTTTCAAACCAGGAGTCTGTCCCAGTGACGCAGTAAAGCACACGGTGTACTACAGACATTTTTGTTTCAGCCAGTGCTGTTTGTTTTGATGGGTATGTACATAACGACTGGATATATTAGACAGTTTACCTGGAAAAACAAGGACCATGTGTCATTCATTTTTGTTCCTCCTACTGTTAATGCCTGTTTTGTAATAGTAGGCAATTGATAAATGTTAAACCAATTAACTAATTTTTTTCCTTAATTCTGAGCAGACTGGAGTTTGGACAGAACTTGGAAAGATTGAGAATAATTTCTTAAAACCACTCCATACAGGACTTAACATGTCAAAAGCACATTATGAAGCAGAAATTAAAAACAGTCAAGAAAATAGCCAAGGTTGGTAGTGTGCAATTTTCAGTGAGATCTAAAAATTACTTAAATTTTGGAAGTATTGTATTATATTCAAAATAAAAAACTGGTTTTATTTTGTATTTGTTTACTTTCTACCAAACAAGGGACTGACAGCTTAGACATTTTTCCTTAAAATGATTCATAGAAGATCTGTGAGTCAATTAGCACTGAGATGGGGTTAGTGAAGATTTATGCTGAATTGAGTATAATTAAGAACCTAATTGTATTGCAGGTATTTTAGTGTGGGTTTCATTGTACTTCCTTCAGTATTACTGAGTCACCCATCTTAGCCCTGAATAAATGTGTACAAATTATGGAAAAGAAGTTTTTAAGTCAGCGATTCTATAGTAATCATAGGAACACTTCAGTTTATATAGTGGTTTTTTGGTAATAGGCAGTACAGGTTGAGTATGTCTTATTCAAAATGCTTAGGACCAGAGTGTCTCAGATTTTAGAAATTTTTATCATTAGTATTATGAAATATCTGCATAGACTTTACCCCAGTTAAATACTCCTAATCTCAAAAATCCCAAATCCAGGTGCTCCAGGATCTGAAACTGTTCAAGTGTCAATATAATTCAAACACTTTTGGATTTAAAGCATTTCAGATTTCAGCTGGGGATGTTTAACCTGTACTATAAACTTGTCCTTTTTAGTGTTCCTGCTTTAATTTTGATTATATACTTGGAAAAAAAGTTTTATGTACCTTATACATACCAAAATAGTTATTTACATGAAAAATGTTCATTCATACTTCCTAATTTTGGTAATTTGCTTACAGCTTGATTTAAATATACCCTGGGCTGTTGAACAGTAAAGACTCAAAAATTTACACAGCTGACACAATTTATGATGCTGCTGCTGCTGACGATCAGAGAGGCAGAGCTCCCATAGTGGTTTACTACACAGAAGCCTCAACAGTGGGGGCCAGGCCGGGGCCAGAACTGGAAACCCAATCCATGTGTCCCACCTGGGTAGAAAGGACCCAATTACTGGAACTAAGACCTGCTGCCTCCTAGAGTCTGCATTATCAGGAAGTTGGAATTGGGAGCCAGAGCCACTAACTGACCCCGCGCACTCTGATGTGGGATGGTGCTATCTCACCTGGCATCTTAACTGACAGGCTAAATGCCTGCCCAGACTTAATTCTGAGTTAGTGAATGATGAAAGTAGCTTATACATTTATTATTGAAATCTGAGAGTTGTTTTAATTGTTAAGTGTGACACGTGACTTTTCTCTTTTCTTACAGCGATACAGAAGTCTAAGGATCTCTGTTCTATAACTGTAGGTGGAGAAAAGATGCCAAATATGCCTCCGGAAATGCAGCTGCAGGTGATGAGACATTCTCCTTAGCTACATCCAGCTGACGTCTTTCCTCTGATCTGCTTTGCCTTGTGTTAAAGGCAAAATTAGTAACGCTAATTTTTCTTGGCATTGCAGGTCTTACATTCAGCCCTTTTCACATTTGATTTGATTGAAAGTGTACTGGCTCGAGTAGAAGAACTCATTGAAATAAAAACAAAGTCTACCTCTGAAGAAAACACTGGGATAAAGTAAAAGTTCTACTTCCTAAATAAAAACTAAGAAAATACTCTGTTTTCTATTATTATTTATTTAATACCTTTATAAAAATTTGTTTATGTAAAAATTGAACTGCTAGAAATATAAATGTAGCCTTTTTCTTTTATCAGTTTCTATAATGACAGTGTGGATTCGTAGTTTTCTTTGGTTTTAAAAAGTTATCTAAAAAAAAAAAGTTATCTAATGGTATAAACAATGCCCGTATGTATATTCTAAACAATAATTTTGAAAATCCAATACAAGCTCATAATTTTGTATTAAAATTTCATTAAATGTTGTTGTCTTTATTAATATAACTGTAGTGAGTTTATAAAAATACCAATACACATTTTGCTCTACTTAGATGCTGTGTAACATTTTGGAAACCCTAGTTGTCAGTTGGATTTCACACACACTACTGTTCACCGTGCAGAAAGTTGTGAGTTCAGGCCTGTTGATTGCCTCTCTTAGAGTCTCCTGTTCCCTGCCTTAGGAGCAGTCTTAGGGAGCAGAGTCCCATTGCTGCCTCACCAGCAGAAGTTGCAATGTGAGAGCATCTGCAAAGATTCATTTCAAAGAAACTCGCTGCCCTGTGGAATGCCTGAAAATATAATATGATGTTTCTTTTAAGGAGCTAATTACAAAGTTCTGTAGTTTTATTTCTTACTAAATACTTGTCCACCCAATTTGTATCTTTAAGAAACTGGATCTGGGTTTTATATGTATGTATTGCCTAAATATTATTAATGGAATCATCCAGCAAAATTGCTAAAATGAAATCACTTTTAATTGTATACAGGTTATTTCAAATTAAGCATTTTTAAAGTAAATACGTATTTGAACATTATAGTTTTTAGCAGGTCTAATTATTTTAACAATCTTCCAAAAGAACACTTACAATTGATACTCTAATTTGGAACAATCGGATCATCATTTAGTTTTATCTTCTGAAGTGTTTTCCAGACAGGACTTTGCTCAATGATGTAAGCTTTAGCTGTTATCATTCTGTAGCAGATGTTACTGATGCATGGTTTGGAAGCAGTCTGGAAGAAGATAAAAGTGTGCAGCACTGTTTACATAAGGTATTTTACCAGATCATATCAAAAAAACATCTAACTTTGATTCATTCTGCAGACATCTCTTGATCAACTATGTGCTAAATATTACATACCAGAGTACTTGAAAAAGTTCATGAAAAATTTATATTAGAAAACTATTGGCCGGCGCTGCAGCTCACTAGGTTAATCCTTCGCCTGCGGCGCCGGCACCCCGGGTTCTAGTCCTGGTTGGGGTGCCAGATTCTGTCCCGGTTGCTCCTCTTCCAGTCCAGCTCTCTGCTGTGGCCCGGGAGTGCAGTGGAGGATGGCCCAAGTGCTTGGGCCCTGCACCCACATGGGAGACCAGGAGGAAGCACCTGGCTCCTGGCTTCGGATCAGCGCAGTACGCCGGCTGTAGCGGCCATTTGTGGGGTGAACCAATGGAAGGAAGACCTTTCTCTCTGTCTCTCTCTCTCACTAACTCTGCCTGTCAAAAATAAATAAATAAAAATTTAAAATTTAAAAAAGAAAACGATATACAGACATCAATTTTTTCTTGCACCAAATTAAGTATCTTTTTTTTTCTTTTTTTTAAGATTTATTTATTTATTTGAAAGAGTTACACAGAGGGAGAGGCAGAGAAAAAGTCTTCCATCCACTGGTTCACTCCTCAGTTGTTACAACAGCTGGAGCTGAGCTAATCCAAAGCCAGCAGCCAGGAGTTTCTTCTGGGTCTCCCACGTGGGTGCAGGGTCCCAAAGACCCAGACCATCTTCCACTGTAGCAGAGAGCTGGATCGGAAGAGGAGCAGCTGGGACTCGAACCAGTGCCCATATGGGATGCAGGCACTGCAGGCGGTGGCTTTACCCGCTATGCCACAGCCCCGGCCCCAAAATAAGTATCTTTTTGAAAATTTGAGGGGCAGGCACTGTGGTGTAGCAGGAAAAGCCACTATGTGGCACTGGCATCCCATATGGGCACCCATTTTCTACTTCAATCCAGCTTCCTGCTAATGTGCCCGGGAAAGCAATGGAAGTGCTTGGGCCCTTGTACCCATGTGGAAGACCTGAAAGAAGCTCCTGGCTCCTGACTGGCCCAGCTCCAGCCATTGTGGCCATTTGGGGAGTGAACCAGTGGATGGAAGATCTCTATCTCTCCCTTTCTCCCTTTCTACTTCTGCCTTTCAAATAAATAAATCTTTTTGTAAAAAATTATTTGAAAGGCAGAGTTACAGAGAGAGAGAAGGAGAGACACAAATCTTCATCTGCTGACTCATTCCCCAAAAGGCGGCAAGGATGGGCTGGCCAGGCCAGGCAAAAGCCAGGAGCTTCATCCAGGTTCCCACATAGGTCACGGGCACAATCATTCAGGCCATCCTCCACTGCTTTCCCAGTGGAGCAGGGAGCAGGATCAGAAGTGGAGCAGCCAGGACTTGAACCTGTGTCTGTATAGGATGCCAGCATTGGAGGCAGCAGTTTAACCCACAGTGCCAGCCAAAATAAATACTTTAATTCAATTTTTCCATAAACTTTTTGAAATACTTTCATATGTATAATAGGAAAATACCTGATCTCTAACTTGAAGGGATTAAAAACATGTAAGCCCTAAAGTGACTTGGTATAAGAATGTATAATGGGTGTATGTTCCAAGTATAAAGGTAAGAAACGCCTAACTCTGACTCCAGAGGTGGTGGTGGCTGGGCAAACTTCATAGAGGAGGACAAGCTTGAGAAGGAGATAAACATTTCATAAATTGTATCTGCACCCAACAGTTTGTGACTACAATCTGACCAGTATTTATACTGTAGGGTTTTAAGGAAGGTGTAAGTAACCTATGTGGCCAGCACAATATAAATATGGCCAAATGTTCTTTTGACCCAAATCCAAGTCATAAATGCATGGTGGCATGAGAAGTAAACTGTAAAGTAAGCTGTGAGAAATGCTGAAATAACTTCTCTAGGGGACAAGAAGCAGGCTGTTTTTCCGTCATTTGAAGTAAAAATGTCCTACAACACGTATGTGGATGAATGTGTCATTTGCTCCAGTGACTCACCTTAGCTATGGTGCTCATTAGATTAATTGCATTTACTGTGTTGTGTACTGGAAGTATCCGTAAGTTACTACCCAAGAATCTGAAAAGCAATTGATAAGTTTTATAGACCATATAATTTACTGACCAACATCTATTCTCTTAAATGGGTGGGAAGAGACAAAATCATATCACTTATTCATTCATGCCCTGCCTTATTCCACAGAGGGTTTTAGGTGGCTTTAAAGCCAGAACTTAACTCATTAAAAAGTGTTCACTTTGGGTTTGGTGTTGTAGGAGAAGCCCATAAATCACCATAAACTCTGGAAACTTGTCTCCTGATTCATAGAATAGCTGTTTGGCCTGTTTCATTAAATATGACAGGTTAATATTAAATTTATCTTCCAGCAAAACAAAACACCTTCCCAGAAGAAATAAGAACCAAAGTAAAAGGGATGGTGCTGTGGCTTAGTAGGCTAAGCCTCCGCCTGCAGCACCAGCATCCCATATGGGCACCGGTTTGAGTCCTGGCTGCTGCTCTTCCAATCCAGCTCTCTGCTATGGCCTGGGAAAGCAGCAGAGGATGGCCCAAGGAACCCTGCACCCATTTGGGAGACACAGAGGAAGCTCCTGGCTTCAGATCCGCCCAGCACTGGCTGTGGCAGCCATCTAGGGAATGAACCAGTGGATGGAAGACCCTCTGTCTCTCCCTCTGTCTGCAACTCTACCTCTCAAATTAATAAAATCTTAGGGGAAAAAAAAAAAGTAAATTACAATTGAGTCGTAGTGCCCTTCTTCCATACCTCTGCTGAATCCTGAATATCAGTTTCCATTCTTCAGGCCCATGGAGTGCTGCAGACAGAACTAAAAAACTATTTTGGTGAATATTAATAAACTTCTCAATTTTTGCTAGATACAATTCTTCAGGTGACATAATACACTCTTTAGCATCCATCAATAAAAATGCAACTCCTAGGAAATGAGAATGTAATATAAAATGTCACTGTGTCATATACATCAAATTTTGTAAAAAAAAGCAAAATCCATAAAACATAGCATCTAGATTTATAAACATGAGAAGTAGAAACCACTATAACAATTCTTACTCAACAAGAATTTAAAGGAAAAGCTGATTTGGTCAATTAATTATGTTGTTTCAGACTAAGGTACTGCACATGAAGGTAATGTCTAATTTTAGTTGAGATGAATTATATTTTAAATGTTAAGTTTTCAGGTTATAGTTGTTTTCAGCATTTACAGGTTTATTATAAAGAATATTAACAAAGGATACAGAGGGGCAGGCAGATGGGAGAGCTGCACAGGAAGCAGAGGGATTGTAGAAAGGGGCATGGGGCTTCAGTGCCCTCTCCAGCCTGCTGCCATCCAGGCACCTCCATGTGTTCAGCAACCAGAAATTCCCACAATAATTTTTAAAAGCTGGAAATCAACTAAAGAAAGGTAATCTTAAACCTTAATTTATTTCTTGCTGGAGAACTCTTTCTGTTAGAATATAAAGAATCATAAATTATTACAGTCAGTGAGCAGATAGTTGCAATTTCTGATCAGGTCCATAAGAATGATCTTGAAGGAAAGATTGATTTAATTATTATGCTTCGATATGATCTAAGGAAAGTGACTATGTGACAATATAATAATTGAATGAACTTGGCAATGTGTTATCTTCTCTGTAACATGGGAATAATTCTTTGTTAGGTTTGTCAGGATTGAATAAGATCATGTGTATAAAGTGGCCAAGGCACACAGTAGGTATTCACCAAAAACATTTCCCGTCTCCCTGGAGGACGCTCTTCAGCAGGGAGAATGAATTTGAGGCCAGTCCACATTCAGCCTGCAGGTCTACACTGAGGAGCTTTTCAAAGTGCCTGTTTTCTAAAACCTCTGCTAGAACAGAGGTCTGATGCTACCCTACTAAGAACATCCTTTACTTCACCTCTTGTGTCACTTCTATCATCTCCCAACAAGTAAGGTGGAGTTGCCCCTTCCCATCTCTCCGCCATCTTTGACCCTAATCTAATCTCTTCCTATATATACCTTGCCTATGACTCACAGCTATACCATTTTATGACTTTAGGAACACTTACTTGTTCACACATTGTTCTTTTAGTCAATATCTGTTTATATTATATTCAGAAAATTCATATAAATCATGACAAAGATTCTCAAAGTGTGGTAGAGGCCTGCCTTTGTCTTTTAATTAAACTTGTTTTTATCTACTATGATTAAAGTTGTGAAGAGGCCTCACCAAGGTCAGACAGAAAAAAGAAACTTACCCTGGAAATGGAATGTGGTCATCATCTGCTTGCCTATGAATGCTTCAACTGTAGTTACTACCTGCTTTTATGAAACCGTTTCAGGTTCTGCTTGCTAGTATAGAACAATGGTATTAACCCTTGTCAGACAGCGTATGGCTCAGTATGGGTGTAGAAAAAAAATCATTATATATGTGTGGTTTTATATCAATTCCTGTGGCCACCACATAACATTAGGATAACCAATCAAATGGATGCACATAACCATATAAGGGAGACCTTTCTCTCTGTCTCTCCCTCTGTCTGTAATTCTCTCTCTGAAATAAATAAATAAATAAGCAAATCTTCTTAAAAAATACATTTTACAATTGGCTATATGCTCTTCTTTTGCAGCAACAACAACATTTTGTACATTTACCTCTCTCAAAAGACACCTTAGGCTATTACACAGTTATTTAACTACAAAAATTATTAGAATTTATACCCATATTTCTATAAGAACCTTAAGGCACTTGGCAAATATACTGTACCAGAAAGGGAAAATATAATTGATCCATTCTCCACTGAATCTGAATACCGAATCTTGTGGCTCCGATTTTCTAGGGCAGTTGCAATTTCACGGCCCTTTTAAAAAATGTTCAGAAACACAAACTTTAAGACATGCTTATAATTTTTACTAAAGTAATGAAAAAAATCAGTTAAAGATCTGATCATCAAAAGACAAGCAATCTGCTTTCTATGGAAAAAAACACTTCAAAAATAAAAGCAAAACATTTAGTCTTACTGAAACACTGTAAGTGTGGAAGAATCATGTGCTACAGCTACTTGGGGAGAGAAGGTAAGGAGAGTATTGAAAAACTAAACCATAAGAACCACAGCAAATACAAACTTGTTCAAAAAAAACTGGAAACTGAATTTTGATATCCATTAATATGTAACTGTGGAAGACGGATAGTGTGGTATTTCTTGGTTGGCAGAACCACAAAGTGCTAAATACACAGAATACCACACAAGACACAACCAGTTTTGCAATTCATCTATTTACAAGGCAGTTACGTCAGAAGGCTTTTAAAATGTTGTAAGTCTTAGGTCAGTCAGAAAACACATATGAAGACAGCAATAGGACTTGTGGTTTAAATAATATTTCAAAAATCACCTCATTTCCTATTCCAACCAAGCAGTTAGATCATATTACCCAAGATACTAGAATCTATGTGGTTGATAGTGTTTCCAGACTGGTTGAAATTCAAGCTTGTTAGTTTCCACGTGGATACAAATCCCCTAGGTGGTGGTGGTCATTTGGCTTAGCAGTTAAGATTCCATTTGGGCTGCTGCTTCCCAAACTGGAGTGCCTGCATTTGAGCCCTGACGCTGTTCCCCATTACTATTTCCTGCTAATGCACACCCTAGGAATCAGCTAATAATGGTTCAAGTAGTTGGGTCCCCGCCACCCATGTGGAAGACCTGAACTGAGTTCCTGGCTCTCAGCTGTGGCCTGGCCCCACTGCAGAGGTTGTGGGTATATGAGGAATAAACCAGTGGGTGGGAGCTCGCACTCTTATCTCCCTCCCCCTCAAAATAAATATATATTTTAAATTCCTTAGATTCTTATTTTATATTTTGTTTCAGTGCATGCGTATCAGCACATTGGCTGATATTTATGTATAAAACATATGCTTCTTTTTCTTCCTAAAGAGTGTTTTTGTGCTACTTAAATCTTGATCTAGAGTTCAACTATGGTTCTTTTCTTCTGCTGTTTTAAAATTATACACTGCTTCCAGCAATGGCAGATTAAGTAATATAGGTCAACCCTCCTTCTGAAGGCAACTCAAAAAATTGGGCTAGAAAAAAACTGATTTTTTTTTTTTTTTTTGAACCTACTTGAATGCATCAGAAAGCTAGCAGGAATAGCGAACAAATATAAGACCAAGATCCATACAGGAATTCAAAGATACGAGCCCAACATTTAGGCCATTTCTTCCCTGAGGGCATCTGTCAATTCAGGAAGAGGCAGAAGAGAGGCTGAACAGAGCTTTTGACAAAAGTAGAACAGCTCTCACAGGGACTGAAGCCCAGCTTCAAACCATTTCAATCCATGCAGTTGTATTAAGGTGATACTACTGAATTACTAGTGCTACCAGCACCTTGCAGAAACACTCCCTAGAGAAACCTCTCTCTCCCTCCTTTAAAGATTTGTGTATTTGCATGGCAGAGTGACAGACACATACAGAGAGAGAGGAGAGATCTTAGAGAGAGAGAGAGAGTCTTCCATTCGCTGATTCACTCCTCAAGAATAGTCAGGGCTGGGCCAGGCTGAAGTCAGGAGCCAGGAACTCCATTCTGGTCCTCCACATGGGTGGCAGGAGCCTAAGTACTTAGGCTGTCATCTGCTGCCTTTTCAGACATATTAGCAAGAAGCTGGATTGCAAGTGGAACACCTGAATCCTGAACTGGCACTCCATCGTGGATGCCAGTGTCCCAAGCTGTAGTCTTAACCCACTGCATCACAATGCTGGCCCTAGATTATGTCTTATGTAGTCTTCCCTGACTGCTAAAAAAGGTAAAATTTGGGGGCCTTCTTAATCAGGTCTCTTCATCTGAATTACAAAATAAAAACAATTATGAGTGACTATTTTCTCAATTCTCCCAAAACTAGTGCCATTCTGCATACACTGAAGGTTAAAATTCATCATATCTATACCTGAGGGTGTGGGTTCTAGATTTAGGAAATAAAAATATAGAACACCCTGATAAATTTGAATTACAAACTGACAACATAAATTTTGTATATGCATATATTTCATGTAATATTTGAGATATACTAACACTAAATTTATTATTATTAAGATTTTATTTATTTGAGAGGTATACAGTTACAGACAGTGAAAGAAACAGAGAGAAAGGTCTTCCTTCCATTGGTTCATCCCCCAAAATGGCCCCTACGGCCGGAATTATGCCAATCCGAAGCCAGGAGCCAGGTGATTCCTCCCGGTCTCCCATGTGGATGCTGGGGCCCAAGCACTTGGGCCATCCTCCATTGCCCTCCCGGGCCACAGCAGAGAGCTGGACTGGAAGCGGAGCATACGGGACTAGAACCCAGTGCCCATATGGATGCCGGCGCCTCAGGTGGAGGATTAGCCAAGTGAGCCACGGTGCCAGCCCCCTAAATTTATTATTTCTAACTGAACTTCAAATTTAACAAGTCTCCTATGTGTTATCTGGAAAATATTTAGAGCATTAGTGGCTTATCTGTCTTACAGAATCCAGACTTCTTTAGAAGAAAATAACACTAATCTAGGCCCCAAATTATTTCTACAATTTCTCAAATAAAAATTCTAACAATCAAAAATAATCAGGGGTAGGTGCTGTGGCTTAGTGGGTAAAGCTGCTGCCTGTGGCGCCCACTTCTCATACGGGTGCCAGTTCGAGTCCCGGCTGCTCTACTTCCAATCCAGCTCTCTGCTCTGGCCTGGGAAAGCAGCAGAAGATGGCCCAAGTGCTTGGGCCCCTGCACTCACATGGGAGACCCAGAAGAAGCTCCTGGCTCCTGGTGGCTCCTGGCTTCGGATCGGCCCAGCTCCATCCGTTGCAACCATTTGGAGAGTAAACCAGTGGATAGAAGACCTTTCTCTCTGTCTCTCCCTCTGTCTGTAACTCAACCTCTCAAATAAATAAATCTTTTTTTTTTTTTTTTGACAGGCAGAGTTAGACAGTGAGACAGGTGTGACAGGTGTGAGTCAGGGAAGCTTACTAAAATTTGTCTTAAGTTTTTTAGGATTTATTTATTTATTTATTTCAAAGTCAGAGTTACAGAGAGAGAGGAAGAGACACAGAGACCTTCCATCCACTCGTTAAATTCCCCAGATGGCAGTAACAGCTGGGTCTGGGCCAGGCCAAAGCCAGGAGCCAGGAGCTTCTTCCAGGTTTCCCATGTGTGTGGCAGGGGCCCAAAGACACAGGTCATTAGCAAGGAGATGGATCAGAAGTGGAGCAACTGGGACATGAACCAGTGCCCATATGAGATACCAGCATTTAGCAGCTTTATCTGCTACACTACAATGCTGGACCCTGCCTTACATCTTTTGAAGTGGAAAGAAACATATCAAGCAAACAATTAAAGAAATAAGACAAAGGTAAGAAGAGCAGGGACAAAAAGAATAACATGGAAAGGCATTCACACCTGAAGTTCTGATTCTTGTTACGATGAATCTGGAAGGTGTGTAGGAGTCAATTTGAGGACAGTGTTGGGAATAGCTGCTAGCAGATCATGACGACCCATGTATGCTGTGCCAATGAATTTCACTCATATTCTATTGAGGAGATAACTAAAAGAAGGATAGTAAAAATAATAGCAGAAAATAATAAAGACAGAATTACAAAGTACTGAATTGAGAAAAAATAAGTTCAATAATTAATAGGGGAGCAGAGTTGTGGTGTAGCAGGTTAAGCTGCTGCCTGTGACACCAGCATCCTATATGGGTACAGGTTTGTGTCCTGGCTGCTCCACTTCTGATCCATCTCCTTACTAATGTATCTGGGAAAGCAGTGGAAAATGGCCCAAGTGTTTGTGCCCCTGAACCCACTTGGGAGGCCAGAATGAAGCTCCTGGCTTAAACCCAGCCCAGCCCTAGCCATTGTAGCCATTTGGTAGAGTGAACCAGTAGACAGAAGCTCACTTTTTCTCTCTCTCTGGCACTGTAACTCTGCCTGGTAAATAAATAAATCTTTCCAGCTATATGAAATATCTGAAAATAAAAACACAATTTATTAAATTTGTGAAAGTGGTTAGAGCAAAATGTATAGTATTGAATGAATGTTCAAAAAAGAAGAAAGATCTAAAAAAAAAATCAATAAACTAAATCCTAGAACAGATGTCACGGCGCAGTGGGTTAAGCCACTGCTTAGAATACCTGTATCCCGTACTGGAGTGCTGGCTACTCCACTTCCAATCCAGCTTCATGCTAAAGCACTAGGGAAGGTGGCAAATGATGGATCAAGCACCTGGGTCCCTGCTACCCATATAGGAGATATGGACGGAACTCTAAGACCTGGCCCCGCCTTGGCTGTTGAGGGCATTTGGGGCAGTGAACCAGCAGATGGAAGATCTCTCTCTCTTTTCCTTTCTGTCATTCTGTCTTTCAAATAAAAAAATAAAACTTTAAACACTAAAATTTCTACTTTAGAAAATTAGAAAAAGAAGAGCAAATTGAATCCAAAGTAAGCAGAAGGAAAGAAATAATAAGAATTAGACCAGAAAGCAATGACATTGAAAAAACAGGAAATCTAGGGCTGGCGCTGTGGCGCAGTGGGTAAAGTATAAAATAATTCTAATGTTTAAAAGGAAAGGCAAGGCCGGCACCGCCACTCACTAGGCTAATCCTCTGCCTGCGGCGCCAGCACGCTGGGTTCTAGTCCCGGTTGGGGCGCCGGATTCTGTCCCATTTGCTCCTCTTCCAGTCCAGCTCTCCACTGTGGCACAGGTCGGCAGTGGAGGATGGCCCAAGTGCTTGGGCCCTGCACCCGCATGGAAGACCAGGAGGAAGCACCTGGCTCCTGGATTCAGATTGGTGCAGTGCACGGCCGTAGTGGCCATTTGGGAGAAGAACCAATGGAAGGAAGACCTT